AAGAGTTCAAGAAATATTTATCTCGGCTTGAAGATTGAGAATTATGCCAACGAGATTCTTTCTTATACTAAGAAAGTATTGAAGCATTTTTATGTGGATTATCCACTGGGCACTTAAATGATTTTTCGGGAAATATACTGGATCAGACATTGCATTTTTCAGATAGAGCTCAGCTCCATCCCCACCACTTTGGGATGATATGAGACATATTTGATCCCATCTCCTCATAAAACAATATACGCGCATATTCTTTTCAAGTGAACTTACAAATGCCCAGGTTTTTGTTTGATTCGTGGACTCTAGAAATTTCTATGATTTACATAGAGATAACTCACTGGAAATATATTTGCTTACTCAACTACATGAATTGTTGATGGCTACATCATTCACTCAGTCCAAAAGATCTTCCCTCTAGAAAGATAGTCATGAAGATATCAAGGGGAGATATTCTTTAGGGGGAGCATCCAACAATATTACAAGATTGACTCACAAAAGCAGTGTCAACTATGACATTCAGAAAGATGATCAACAGTATGGCTTAAAAGATATTTTGCCAAGCATAAGGGGGAGCGTGTTGTCAATAAAGATCTTCACACATTGTACTCTTTTTTCTTCGTCCAGGTTTTTATCCCGCTGGGTTTTTCCTGGCAAACTTTTAACGAGGCAGTGTTGCACGCGTGTCAATGTACACAGAATTTTATGTTACAGATGATTATGTACTCTTTTTTCCCTTTGACCAGTTTTTGTCCCATTAGGTTTTACTGACAAGATTTTTATCGAGGCATATTCCATACATTGTGGTCTCCAAGGGGGAGTGTTATAAAGAAAGTGGTGGAGCTCACATAAAGAAAAGAAGAAAATAATATTCAAAAAGCTTAATGATGATGTTGGAAGCCATCCAATTTGCCTATAAATAAGCTTTCCATTGCTTAGCAAAACACACCAAATGAGAAGAGAAGAAAGGAAGAGTGAGAGGAAACAAAGAAAGTGAGTTCTATCTGAGAGGAAATTCTGTTAGTGTAAACATCATAAGAGCAAATACAATTTTACTCCCAATATTTAGTGGTACTTTTCATACTATGTTATTTTATTTTTAGGCTTATTTATGTACATGCCCCATGTGCTTTGAAAGTTGTCTAAGATTACCACTTGTTCTTTGAAACGTCTTTAAATACCACCTACACTTTCAATAACTGTCTCACGTTACCTATTCTATTAATATTAAGAGACGTTCCATTACGTGATGGGTTTATTGAGTAATTTGGGGTCTATGTTGGTGGTGGGTGGAGATTTTTGGGAGAGAAATCTTTTGGAGGCTGTTGTGATGAGTGGGTGAGGCTTGGTTGTGGGTTCAAAGGTTGAGAGGATGAAGAGGAGGAGGGTGACGAAGACCAAAAGGGCACATATGGAAATTGTGGATTGGGCTTTGGACAGAAGGAGATTATTGGAATTGGTTCATCTAAAAATTGTGCATGTTTTTGCTGAAGAAGAAGAAGAAGAGGAAGAAGATGGGGGAAGAGGACGATGAACAATAGAAAAGCTTGTTACTTTTGTCAACAATGGTTGTGTCTTTTGGAAAGAAGACTAGAAGCAAACTCATACCCCAAGAAGTGGGGGCCACATTATGTAGTGGAACGTCTCTTAATACTGACGGAATATGTAACGTGAGATAGTTATCAAAAGTGTAGGTTGTATTTTGAGACATTTCAAAGAACATGTGGTAATCTGAGACAACTTTGAACGCACATGAGGCATGTACATAAATAAGCCTTATTTTTATAACACTCTTTTATTATTCATAACTGAATTCTTTTTTTTGGTAAATTGCTTTCATCTATCCCATAAATCACCTCTTTAGTTTTTCATGACTAGGCAAGGAGACATTATAGATGCATTTTAATTTTGTATTCTACGGTCTCTACAATTCAAAGTTTGCTTGATTAAAAAATGTCTATATCCTTTAAAAAAAAAGCCTCTATGAAGAAACTATGCCTACCAACATTGTCAATGGTAATTTGGATGAAGGCGTGAATTGTTGGGGTTGGAGTTAGAAAAGTCCACAACAGACATAAAATTTAACTAAGGTACGAAATAAAAAGGGAAATTAGTTATGCTAATGAAAGAGAAGGGAAAAACACTTTTGAGACTTCAAAAAAAAAAGAAAAAGGACACATATCAATTTGTGGTTGAGTCACATTACTGGTGGGAGGAGTTCCTTCTTATGAGTAAAGAGTGAAGTATTGTCCTAAAATAAATGATGCAACAAAAGATAGACAGTCTATCCAACAATGACACCCAATAAGTTACTATTCAAGAGTAATATCCATGGATGATACATTTAAATGGACTGGTATATTTTGAAAGAAAAAAAAAGGACTCGGCATATCAATTTGTTTCCTCCACACACACTGAAAAGGTATATTTTCAATTGTTTGTATTAATTTAACAATTCAAGGTTAGAAAGGGACTTTAAAATCATTTTCTCATAATTTTTTAGTTTTTTAGTTTTTTAGTTTTATTAACTTATTAAATATTTTTATATCTTAAATTTGTCCATCCACGTGGAGCAATATGAGTGGATCTTTATGGACCCATTAATTATCACATCATGAGTTAATAGAAGATTTGATGAACATACTAACCGAGGCATGAAAGTGGTAAGAATATCAAATTTGAGGTACAAAGTTGATACCGAAAAAAAAATTCATGTAGCAAAGTCTGAATCTCGTGGAACTTGCGGGTAGTAAAGTGAAATAAGAAGTTTTTTTTTTCATGAAAAGAAAGAAAGTATTTTGACTAATACTAGATGTACCATCTTTGATTACATGATTTTATACCACACGATATTGCACAGAACATGAAAATCATCTCATTTAATTTATTCTAATTTTAGAGTTTAGTTTTGTTATTTTATGCATAAATTATTGTAGAAAACCAACAAATGAGTCCCATCATTAATTTTTAAGAAAAATTAGGTATAAGTCATATATTAGTTTAGTAATAAGGATATCCTAAAGGGATAATTTGGTTTTGAGTTTTAAATTTTATTTTGGAAAAACTCAATCAAACACCCATATTCACTTGGCTTGTTTAATTTCTAAGGGAAAAGACAATTTTACCCTTTTCGTCTAAAAGGATCGCCCACCACCACCGACCACCCTCTCCGGTGTTAGAAATATGTCATAGAAGTCAGTACAAAAACAAAAAACTTATAAGGACATAACACTACATAATTAATAGAGCATGAAAATCACTTTAGGAAACTTATACATAGGCAATAAAGTGACAAGCCCATGAATTACGATACATATGGACTTGTCACTTTATTACCTATACACTTGTCTCAATATTTCTACATGAATGACTTCAGACTAGTCATCCTCCCGATTGAGCAGACAGATTGCGTACTAGTCTTTGCAAGTCACCATTTGTCCAATTGGTGATCCTATGAACATGAACATTTTAGGATGTGATATATCATAATGGAAAGGTCTCTTGAATCCTACTATGTAGCGGTTAGTGGAAGATACCAAGAATATGATGTCATAGATCACTGGAGTAGTTTTTACCCACATTGTACTGCAAACGTGGTGTTTAATCGTCTTTGACACTTTGCTGAGATTATTGGCATTGTTGTTACTAGGTTTGAAGACCATATTTTATTGTTGATCTTTTATCTGAGGATTGTAATCAATAGTTTTTACAGGTACGATCTGAGGGGGATGATGGGACACTCTATGGAGGCAAGGTTCTTGCTTCAGCTTGCGGTTGAGCGGGTAAGGCTATTCAGTTAGACCGAGCCCATTAGTGGAGAGATTCTTGCCTAATCCACGACGACATAGCCTGATATTTGTACTAGTTACTCATTTCTCTCTTACAATACAATGCCCCTCTTTTTTTTTTTTTTTTTTTTTTTTTTTTTTTTTTTTTTTTTAGAAGAGCCCTATAAAGTTTAAGTGCCCGTTTGGCATTTCTTATGAGGGGTGATAAGTGATTTTTTTAAAAAAATTGGGAAACCCAGCCCGTCTGGTAAACTATGAGAACATTACTTATTGTTAAAAATTGTTGTGAGAGAGAGAGAGCTATAAGAGAAAGCATCTAATGAGGTAATTTCATTTTCTGATTATACAGGAATCAGTGTCGAATATGCGCTAATTTTAATGATTATGCGGGAATTAGTATCAACAACACTTTTAACAAAAAGTTTATCAAATGACAAACACCAAATTGTTTTCTCTTACAGTTGATTTCTCTCACAGCAAATGATAGCGATTATTTTCACAACACAATAATGCCAAACTGAACTAAATCACATTCAAGAAAAAAAGAAAATTAGTATAGAGTTTCTGCCCACCTCATGTTTTTGGGTAAGTCCCTGAATGCACCCGCGAATGAAGAAAAAGAGATGTCATTATTATCACCGGATAGGATTCTAAGGTACACAGAAAATTTGAGTGGTTCTTCGTTTCCGATAACCAGAATATAGGCGGTTTTCATTTTCATATTAAATGCTCGATATTCCTTAATATTTTATCTTTTCATCCATGTTTCTTGTTTGTGTGGGTATTATTCATCTCTGAGTTGTGTGAACATCACCGTTCTTACTGTTATTGTGCCCCACATTTCGAACCTGATTGTAGTGTGTGGTAAATTTTAACACTTGCGGCTTGAACTATCTGGTACTGTGTTTCATTTGTCTCTATTTACTGCTCAATTTTCATGTTTCTGGGAACAGTCCTTTAAAGGTTAGATAATCAGATTACAAGAATCAGTGGTATAGAAATTTCTATAGGTCCATAATTTTCTGGAAAATCTAAAATTGTGTTTGAAGTGACACTTAATTACCCGGTTCACATGGGAATGGGTTCCACAAACTTTGGATATTTTCGAACTCTCTTTGTGCATATATGCTTTGGCATATGGCCTTCTGGGTTCAGGCAGGGGACTCAGGTAGCTGAAAAACATTATTAAGGAAGTTTGTGTAATAATTTTGGGTCCCAATGGATGAAAGTTCTGTCCATAACCCCCTTATTTGGGGCCAAGGTTCTGGACATGCTAATGTCAGGAGGAAGACTCCTCTTTCTGTAACCTTAGCAAAATGGATTCTCAAGATTGCAATGTTGGCGCTTTTCATTTCATGGATTGCTCTAATGTTTCTGTTCCCAGCAGATTTTGTGCAGAAACTATTTGAGAAATGGATCCAAGCCACCAATGGAACTATTTTTGGGATTACAGGTGAACTTAATTATTGCCTCTGCTCTTTTTCACGTAAGTGTTCTCTTCTTAGAGGTCTCTAGTTAACTTGTATGCTGCAAACTGCAGGAAGCCTGTTCCTGCTATTCAGTGGTCCCATTCTCCTTATTGCAGTGCTGTCCATAGCATATCTTGTTATCTCTGGGGAAGAGGAGCTCCACGAGTATGTCTATTTTTGAGTTGGAAAATATTGAGTTAGATTGAATATACGTCATTGCATTTTATGTTCTAAGCTCAACCACTTAAATGTCCACAGGATTTGTTGTTATGTAATAATTAACTATGCGTGCAGGAAGAAGCCTTCAAAGTATCCGAGTTTCCGGTTGTGGACGTTCCCAGTTCTTGTGGATGGGCCATTTGGGGTTGTTTCTGCTGCTGAGTTGATTGGGATATTACTTTTTGTTGTGTTTGTTATCTGGGCTGTCTACGCTTATACCATGAGTATTCTCAGCTTGATGTCTGATCAGTTAACTTTTAAAGAGAAAAGGTATCATGTTTGTTCAAGATCAGTCTTTTTCCTTTTTTTAGTTCCTGTCAATCTTTCTGAGTAGAGAAACTAGTTATCTCCATTAAATATCTATTTTAATAATTTTCACACTTCTATGTTGTTGCTCTCCTTTGAAAGTTCTGCTTCTGCTTCAGCATTTAAACTCTTGAGCTAGCCCTTAGTAGGTTTCAACTTGCAAGCTTGAAAAGCCTATATGCATGTTTGTATAAAACTCACCAAGATTATGCTCTTATTCTTGTAAATGATTGTATGACTTATAAATAATTGAGGTATGTATATTCCTGTTTAAAAAGTTGACACATATGTGATGAAATGTTTGGTTAACTGCTTCTCCCTGCCATATGGTAGGTGCTGTAATAGTTTCATTAGTCAAGCTTTTAAAATGTCGAGCTTCTTGTTGATCAATTTGCTTTCTTTTTCTTTTTAGGTTTCAAAACAGTCAGTCAGCTATGTTTTTCTGATGCCTTTTTTTACGGGTTCTGATGTCCATTTTAATGACAGTAAACATACAATTATTGTAATCTGAAACTGTCCATTTGAATGAATGAAGCTCAGATTAAATCACTTAATTTTTAAGTTCCATTCATTCATCTAGGTGTCTAGGCTTTTTTAGCTGAAACATGTCTCTGTAAAGTTGCTGTATATGGCTGAGAATCTCATTTTCAAAGGCAACATTATCTGCTTCACTTTCGATAATGTTGAAAACTTGGGATAAACTAACCTGTAATTCTGTATATTTCCCTTTTTTCTTTATGTTGTTTTTGCACAACTTGCTCAATTTGTAGAAGTATTCATAGTCGACTCGATTGTCCGAATAAAATTAGTATATGAGAAACTTAAATCCTTCACGATTTGCATGCAAACATTGATGCTTATGTGCTATTTTTCTTCAGTCGAAAGATTGGTTTCATTAACGATTTACCTTGTACTTGAACTTGCAGTTGTTTGTTCCTGGAAATTTTGGGACTTCGTTTTGGTTTAATTGGGATGTTTTGCTTGGCATTTTTGTTCCTGCCAGTTGCAAGGGGATCAGTTCTTCTTCGATTTATTGATATCCCTTTTGAGCATGCTACGAGATATCATGTATGGCTGGGACATCTCACAATGCTCCTCTTTACCATCCATGGACTGCTTTACGTAGTGGCATGGACAATTGAAGGCCGTCTCCTTCATGAAGTGAGTGCTAATGCTGCATTTAATCATATTTGTCATTGATAGATAGGCTGTTAGCTGTTAAAATTAAGGTATAGTTTACAGAAGACAGCTAAAATCTGCTTCCATTTTACCATACCATTATGGCATATTTTCTAGATAGACCAAGCATTCCATTCTGAATGTTCTGAGATACTTATTGCTATAAATGTATTAAATATATGACAGTGTACATGTATCTCTACCTAAATGTCTAGTAAAATAACTTATAAGGACCATGCTACAGGCAAATATAGGCTCAGATTATGATGCCAGACTGCTTATTTATGTTTTCAATGGTTTGATGCAGATATTGGAGTGGAGGGATATTGGTGTTGCCATTCTTCCAGGAGTGATCAGCCTTTCTGCGGGTCTGTTGATGTGGGTCACGTCACTTCCTCCAGTGAGAAAGCTGAACTTTGAGTTGTTCTTCTACACTCATCAACTATATGTCATCTTCATTGTCTTTTTGGCTTTGCACGTGGGTGATTTCATTTTCACAATGGCTGCTGGAGGAATATTTATTTTTATTCTTGATCGTTTTCTGAGATTCTGCCAATCACGAAGGGTGGTTGATATAATTTCAGCGAAGTGCCTTCCATGTGGAACTGTAGAATTGGTCCTCGCAAAACCAGAAAGTAAATATTTTTCTTCGCACTTTTATTATTTTTAATTTCATATTCTGTTACCATATGAGTGACTGTTCGCTCATGACATATTTAGATCTGCGGTACAACGCCCTCAGTTTTGTTTTTCTTCAAGTTCGTGAGCTATCGTGGCTGCAATGGCATCCTTTCAGTGTTTCTTCCAGTCCTCTGGATGGTAAATATCATATTTCTGTCCTCATAAAGGTTCTTGGAAAATGGACAGAAAAGCTGAGAGGAAATATCTTGGAAAATTCAGAAAAGGAGATACCTTTCAGTCCTCATAGTAAGATAACAGCTTCTGTTGAAGGGCCTTACGGGCATGAGATACCGTACCACTTGATGTATGTACACTATTCTTTAATTCTTTTTATCACAAAAATTGTTGTATCAGATAAGGCTAATCCTGGTCTAATCACTGGTTTGGAGTTTACAAGTGAAATACATGAAAGTTTGCATGATGCTGTGTGTCATATGTTCACATAACATCTTCTGTAATGGTACTTACAAATTTGAAGGGCTCTTTACAAAGACAGTCCAATTATTAACCACCCAAAAAAAGAGAGTATAATGTTCCTTATTTTTGGATCAAAAGAAAAGAATATACTAGACATCCAGCTCAATGATAAATTTTGCTTTCTATATCTAACAGTTGACTTTATGTTTTGCTTTCTCAGGTATGAAAATCTTATCTTAGTAGCTGGTGGCATTGGGATTTCACCTTTCCTGGCCGTCTTGAGTGACATTCTCCATTGTGTTAGGGAAGGGAGACCTTGTCTACTAAGAAATATTTTGATTGTCTGGGCTGTCAAAAGATCAGATGAGCTTTCTCTTCTTTCAATCATTGACATGGACTCAATCTGTCCATCGTTCTCTAGTAAACTAAATCTTGAGACTTGTATATATGTCACTCGGGAATCTGAACCTCCGTTGGTATGTTTGGTTGTATTTTGACACATTTTCTGTACCTTCCTTAATTTGTTTGCGTTTTATTAATGTTATTTGTTCCAGTTTTTTGGGAAATTTGATTGTTGTTATTTGCAGGAAGAGGGTAAAGTGCAAAACACTCAAGACTTTTCTCTTTGTCCTACATCCAAAAGTTGTGGCATGTCTGTTTTGGTTGGTACTGGACATACCATATGGTCTGGACTATATGTTATCTCATCCATGGTAGGCTTTGTTATCTCAATGGGCTTGTTGGATATCTTCTACATAAACCCTTTTCATATATCTTCATGGTGGTACAAGGGGCTCCTTTTCGTTGTCTGTATGATTACAAGTGTCGTTATCTTTGGGGGTCTTGTGGTTGGTTTATGGCATCTCTGGGAAAGAAGAATTTTAGCAAAGGAACAATTTGAGGATGATAAGTTAAATATAGATAAGGCAGAGCATAAAGAAACTGTAGCTCGCGAGGATTCACACCTTGCAAAGTTATCTGGCATTCGTTATGGTGCAAGACCAGACTTCAAAGGTATGCCTCCTTGACATGTCTATTTTCGTCTTAAATTCACAGCACATGAAGCTAATTAATAAATACGTAGCAATAATTCTATATGAGTTATCCAGATAGTTGAAATGCTAGTTAATGACTACATATAGACAATGCATGCAGTGGTTCTTTCATTTGAATAACCTTTGATCTGTTGAAGAGGTTAAACTAGCATAATCTATTCTTGGTTGCTTCATATTTTTGAGGTGGCTTCCATACCATTTTGTGTCGATTTCTACTTCCTGCTATCTTTTCATTGACCAATAAATCTACAATCTAGAGAAGCATAACTTGTGAAGCTGGTGGATCAGATAGAGGTGGGGATTTTGGATTCTTGTTTTTCTTACAAAGCTCCATTTGATTTCATAATAATGAAGAAGGAAAAAGACTGAACCTTCCGAGGAATTTGTATTGGTATAGAATATAGAATTTAGGGTACATTGAAGCACAGGAAATTGCTTTGCAAAGAGGTGCATCGGGTTGTTAGTTGCCCGAAATAGCTTCTTTCCTTACAGCAACAATTGCATTTCTCCAGTTGCAGTTGACAAGAAAATGTCTTGTCCTTGCTTACTTGATTTCTTCTTATTGCAGAAATATTTGAAACTGTATCCCAGAATTGGGGCCATGTTGATGCCGGCGTCATTGTGTGTGGTCCTCCAACTCTTCAATCAAGTGTGGCTAAAGAAATCAGGTCACACAACTTTAGGAGACAAAGCGACCATCCTATCTTTCATTTCAACAGCCATAGTTTTGATCTGTAGCTTCCACTACAAACCTATTTATACGATTGTACATAATAAATATACACATAAATATGTGCGTATATATACGTGTGTGTATATATAAATAAATAAATAAAAATAAATGTGTGTATGTGTGTATATATAAATAAACTGTTCTTCTCTCATACGGACGTCCATAGGTGTAAATAAGGAGGAAAGCAGGGAGGCGTCTGTTTGGATGTTTGCATAGGGGAAAATCTGTATAAATAAATATGCGTGTGTATACAGTATTGTGTCTAATGTTCTACTATACTGTATGTAGTCATCGAATCAAATTTGTATGAATTTCATATACCATTTATCCTAAAGTGGTGGTCAAGTGTGACCTTTTTGTTAGTGTATCTTTTTTGGTTGAATGGAGACCTTTTGGTGCCCAACTAGGGGTTTGAATCCATATCAATCATACTGACTAAACTAATTGAGTCCAATTCAATAGGGGTGGGCATTCAAATCGGAAAATCGGAAAATCAAGTTCAATTGGGCCAAAAAAAATTAGGTTGATAAAAAATCAGATTGAGTTGAACAAAAACCGAATCGGACCAATTCTTGTAGTGAAAAAACTGGACCGGTTGTATAATTTCCAACGCTAAATTTCTAAATCCATAAAGTAATCTTTCCCCAAGCCCAACTCCAAATCACTTCTCCATTCTAGGCCCAATCACCTCCATTTGCATACAATTGGGCTATTTGTGAATTTGGCATAATCAATCGAGTGCATTCGGCAATAAAGGACTGGTACCTTGGCAGGCACGTCGGCTGCCAAAAGGAAACGCTCCAAAGACACTAAGACAAGCCCTTAGAATACGAGTGACATCACCACCTTCTCAACCTACAGAAGGAAGACCTCATTCCGAAGCGGTATCCACCTGCTAATGCTCTTGATTACCGAACCTAGAGCCATAGACACATGTCGCTACCAAGGTGATTTGCACAAAGTCTCACATCGAAACTTTGTACAAATTCTTAGTTTCACTTCCCTATAAATAAGGAACAATGCCCAGTTAAAAAGGGTAATTATTTTTTACCTTTACTGTTATTCTACCAAAATTACCATATATCCTACATTCGCTGACCTAAGCATCGATGAGCCTTCGGCAGGTACCACACCGGTGCCTAAAGCTTGACGATTGCTTCTTCTTTATTTTCTTATACAGGATCTCTGTGTGTTGAAGATTCATAATCTTCTCTTCTCGCCTTGTTGAAGATCCAACACTCCTGCACCTAAGTTGACATACTGAAAAAGAGCATCAACAGTTTGGCATTGTCTATGGGAAATGACTTCTACCAGTTTCGTTGGCTCTATCTCCTATCCGACCTTGTCATCTTTTCTACCTTTCGCACTCTGCAATGTCGAGCGAAGCTAGTCTTGAAACCCAACACTACACCCCACATGTTGAGTCATCTTGAAGGAAACCTTCGACTAACGCACACCTCCAAGCTGAAGTGGAACGCTTTTGTGCTGATGTCACCAAAATGACAGAGGGCTATGACCACCTTCGTACCAAGAATGCTAAATTGGAACACGACTGCCGAACCTTGAAGCGTAACTGGGAGAATACTCACCACCAATTTACTTAGCATGACCTCAACTAGGGTGTTGAGCGCACCCAATCAAACCAATAAGCCATCTCCCGTCATAGTGCCTCGACCCAGCCTAGGCCTGACAAAGGGAAAGGCCACCTTCATTCTGAAATGACCAAGTCGCGACTTCTCCAAATTTCCCAGCCAAAAGATCAGCCTCGTGCCCCAACCAAGATTTACAAGGACTGCAGGGATCGTATCTTGGAGCTTCGGTCAAAGCCCATCCCTATTCCTGTAGACCTTGACAACCCACGAGTTGCTCACCTTAGCCCCCTACCGAAGCCCACCCGTTTACCCACCAAAGAGGGGGTTGGGGACTCGGACGGTTGGGAACCTTATCATCTTAAGGACTGAGAGCCTTACCATTCCGAACTTTCGAAGAATGGAAAACTTATCCACCTTCACCCACCCAACAAAACAAGTCTTCGGCACCCGATGTCCTCCCTCACACCGATCTTGCCATGAGACTTCTTTCAAGAAGGTTCGTCGTCTCAAGGATAAGCAACACTGCAGCCATCAACCCTTTTGGACGAAGCCAGAGCGTATCCTTAACTATCATCAGGAAAAAAGATGTTCAACTACTTCGCATCGCCTTCTACACGGGTAAAGAGCACCCCCTGACCCAAATCTATTCTTTTCAGTCTTCCCTCGGATGCAAAGGTTTCAGTGATGAAGCCATGTGCATCCTTTTCCCATCCACCCTCAATGACGCCTCTTTGAACTGGTTTTACCGGTTGAACCCTCGCATTATCGACTCATTAGACCACCTAAAGCAGACTTTTTTCAACCATTTCATGAATCAGACTGATCGTTTGTACTCTGCGGACGACCTATATATGCTTCAATAGGGTGAAGACGAGCCCCTGCAGGAGTCACCGCCCACTTTAGTCACGAGTATTACTGCTACCTAGAAACAGACGATCGTGCTGCCTTCGACGCCTTCAAGAGTGGCCTTTGTGAATCCAACTTCCGATACCTGGTCCATAGCAACCCATGAAACATCTATGCCGAATTAATGAAGCAAGCGGTCATCCATGCTAAGGCCGAATATTTTAACTCAAAGCGTAGCCCTGCCAACAATTCACGGACCACATTCGGCGACCCGACACAGGCTTCGACACCTACCCCCACCAATCCAACCATTACACTCCCACCCCTGATACTCAGAGTGCCCAAAACCTCAAAAGGAAGGACGACTACTAACGCTCCTTCAATAGTGGGAAACATAGCTGACACTTTAACCATCATCAATCCGGCGGCAATAACCCCCCAAAGACAAACGATCGTGCCCTACTCTCCTTTGAGCCTAAGCCCAAGTTCGAAGTGTTCACCACACTGAAGATCACTTATGAGCATGTTCTGGTCAATGAGGCACCTATTATACCCAAACCCCCTCCCCGAAGACCTACCATCGAAGGTGGTCGTAGCCCCTCTATCATTTTGGTGACATCGGCACGAAGGCACTCAACTTCAACTTGGAGGTGTGTGTCAGTTGAAGGAGTGTTGGATCCTGCAGAAGAAAATAAAGAAGAATCAATCGTCAAGCTTCGGGCACCTGTGTGGTACCTGCCGAAGGCTCTCCGATACTTAAGGAGGGGAAAGAAATGAAAATGAAAACTGTAAACACTTTAAAGTAATTTTAAAAAATAAGGGTTATTTTGAAAATTATTTTCATTTTTAGAAAATAGAAAATGAAAACTTACTAAACAAGTTTTCAATTTTCAACAAAAGTGAACCAAAAAAAAAACTGGAAAAAAAAAAAAGGTTATCAAACATGCTCTTCAATTTAGGAATTCTATCACCTAGGAACTACTCATTCCTCAGTAGACCACTCATTCCTTGGTTTAGGAACTACTTCCTTTTTCACAATTTTGGTTAGCTGGGTCCAACCATTCGATTTCAAAACGTGTATTCCGGTGTATTACTTCTAGGGTTATCATTTAATTTCCCTATTATTTGTATATGTCGTTGAGTCAGACTGCATGAGTGAAATGGGCATGATCGGCTTTTTGTATCCTGAGAGCCTCCTTAGGCGCATTTAATGGGCCTTTTGGGCCTCGTTCTAGCCTTTTGGGCTCTCGTTCAGTTCTTTAAGTAACGAGGGCTAGTTGTTGGACTCTTTTTGGCAAACCATGTTTATATTTGATATAACTATTTAAAAATTATCTTTACCCTCTTAACTATTTTAAAAAAGGATTTACCATTGCGTCTTAGTTCAACGGGATATATAATATCTTTTTTTTTTTTATACGGGAAGAGGAAGATGTCTTTACCAATGTGGAGGCGTGGAAAAGAGAATTTTATCTAACGTTGGTTGGATTGGGTGGAAGTTCGTCTGTATACATCTGCATCCTAGTAATGTGAAGTGTAAAGCAAGCAAAGCAAAACAAAGCACTTTGGGTCTCTTTTCTAAGCAAGCAATTTACCTATCCAGTCAGTGAATGCGCGTGGGATAGAAAAATTAGACACGGTGTCGTTGTCTAGTAGCGGAGTGGTCAGTGTCATCAACCAAATGAATAGTATTTAATTATTCAATAAAAAAGAAAAGAAAAATACGGAAAGAGAAACAAATCGCAAGCCACAAGATGAATTCAATACAACTGTGATCTGTCTGTGATTGAGAAAATAAAACAAGCACCGTCACCCATCAAATTATTGAGTTAATATAATACAACGGAAAAAGTCCAAACTGAGTCCACATTTTCCTTTTCTTTTATAGGAATAGGAGGAGGCTCATGAGATTACAAACAAGCTAACAGCAGCGAAGCAACTACTTGTTTTGTGAATTGAGAGTTGCTTTTTGTCCCAGACTCAGATCTGGTTCTGGTTCTTGCTTTGGGTGTCGGTGGTGTTTTGACTTGTGAGACAAGTGACAACTCCTCTGTCGGTGTCGGCAGTGTTGAGCTGAAGCTATGAGCATGTACGGCAGGGACCCTTGGGGTGGCCCGCTGGAGATAAACACGGCGGACTCGGCCACGGACGATGACCGGAGCCGGAACCTGCAGGATCTGGACAGGGCGGCGCTGTCGTCGCGGCCGTTGGATGAAACGCAGCAGAGCTGGCTGCTGGGGCCCTCCGGGGAGCAGAAGAAGAAGAAGTATGTGGATCTGGGATGCATCATTGTCAGCCGTAAGATCTTTGTGTGGACAGTCGGGACGCTCCTGGTCTCCGCCTTTCTGGCGGGCTTCATCACCCTCATCGTCAAGACAGTGCCGCGTCACCACCGCGGCCGCCCTCCCCCCGACAACTACACACTGGCGCTCCACAAGTCTCTAATGTTCTTCAACGCCCAGCGATGTACGTTTTCTTTGTGCCTTTATTCTTTTTATTTATCTTTCTTGTTTCTAAATTCTACATTTGGGTTTGTTGTTTCTAAAATTCTAAATCTGGGTTTGTTGTTTCTAAATTCTAAATTTGGGTGTTAAAGTGTCAGATTTAGATATATATATATATATTTATTTATATATTATCTGGATAATTGATTTGATTTGATTAATTGCATTCTTCTTGATATCTCGATCATCATTTTTTCATTTTTCATTTTTCATTAACTACTACTAATAATAATACTCTGATATGATATGCTATCACAGCGGGAAAACTCCCAAAACATAACAATGTCTCGTGGAGGGGTAACTCATGTCTTAAGGATGGCAATGATGCATCCACCACTTTTAAAGATCTTGCGGGTGGTTTTTATGACGCCGGAGATGCCATCAAGTTCAACTTCCCTAAATCCTTTGCCATGACCATGCTTAGCTGGAGTGTAATCGAGTACAGTGCTAAATATGAAGCTGCTGGGGAACTCAACCATGTGAAGGAAATCATTAAATGGGGTTCTGATTACTTTCTCAAGACGTTCAACCATTCTGCTGATTCCATTGACAAGCTTGTTGCTCAGGTTTCTAATGCATCCACTAGTCTCGACTCGACTCCACTGCCATTTTGTGTTTTCCTTCTCATTGTCCATTGCTAATCTACTACTTTTACAGGTTGGGATTGGATCTACTGCTGGAGGAAGTACTACTCCTAATGATCATTATTGCTGGATGCGCCCTGAGGACATTGATTACCCCCGTCCTGTGACTGAATGCCACAGTTGCTCTGATCTAGCCGCCGAAATGGCTGCTGCTCTCGCTGCTGCATCCATAGTTTTTAAAGACAACAAGGCCTACTCACAGAAACTTGTCCATGGTGCGAAAACACTGTTCAGGTTTTCTAGGGATCAGCGAGGCAGATATAGTGCTGGTGGTAGTTCAGATGCTGCACTCTTCTATAATTCCACCAGTTATTGGGATGAATTCGTATGGGGTGGAGCTTGGATGTATTATGCTACTGGAAATTCTTCTTATCTTCAGCTTGCAACAACTCCGGGTCTTGCCAAACATGCTGGTGCCTTTTGGGGCGGCCCTGATTATGGAGTTTTTAGCTGGGACAACAAGCTTGCTGGAGCTCAGGTATGCTAATAGGAGTTTGTGGTGTTCGTGCTTTGATATGAGACCTGAAAGATTATATAAGTAATATGTATTACTATCTTTAATTAGTTCTATGTTCATTAATCGGGTGTAATCCTTAGTAACTTCCAAGTGTCAGCCACCCTTCTATATCAAATGTTAGATCACAGTTGGGTTATGAACTGCACAATTTTAGTTCATATTTTTCATTGCCAACACAATCTTAAATTCTTTTGACTAGGTGCTTCTGAGCCGTTTGAGGTTATTCTTGAGTCCTGGGTATCCGTATGAAGAAATTTTGAGGACATTTCACAACCAGACTAGCATAGTAATGTGCTCGTACCTGCCAATTTTCACGACCTTTAACAGAACCAAAGGTACGATGTTTCCTACTCCATAATGTTTGGGTTCTGTGCTTAATTGACCTCACGAGGTTCCACAAGTGGATTTATGCATGTATGGGATCTAACTCTTAGTGACCTGCCACAGGAGGCTTGATCCAGTTGAATCATGGAAGGCCACAGCCTCTTCAGTATGTAGTCAATGCAGCCTTCTTAGCTACATTGTATAGCGATTATCTTGAAGCTGCTGATACACCTGGGTGGTATTGTGGACCCAACTTCTACTCTACTGATGTCTTGCGTGAATTTGCTAAAACTCAGGTATGTATACTTTTTTTTTAATTTGCTTTATTTCCTTTAAGAAGAAAATAATATTAGGGCTGCTTACACCTCACACATATAAAGAAACTCATGTTGAGACATGATTACCAATAACTTGTTTTTCCCACTGCTTTGGCAGATTGATTACATCCTTGGCAAAAATCCCCAAAAAATGAGTTATGTTGTGGGCTTTGGTAATCGTTACCCCAAACATGTACACCACAGAGGAGCATCCATTCCTAAGAACAAGATAAAATACAATTGTAAAGGGGGATGGAAATGGAGGGACACTTCAAAGGCAAACCCAAATACGCTTGATGGTGCCATGGTTGCCGGGCCCGACAAACATGATGGTTTCCGTGATGTTCGTTCTAATTACAACTACACAGAGCCGACCCTTGCTGGAAATGCAGGTTTAGTAGCAGCGCTTGTTGCTTTGTCGGGAGAAAAAAATATTGGGATTGACAAGAATACCATTTTCTCTGCGGTTCCTCCAATGTTTCCAACTCCACCACCACCTCCGGCACCTTGGAAACCATGAGATGCTGAAGTGGTCCCGGTTGTTTTAAGTATGTTGTGTGACTTACGGCTAGATGATTTTGCTGCAGTGTTAGACTTTGGAGCTTACATCTACTTGACATAAAAAGAGTAACTCAGTCACATGAAGATCAAGAGATGGGCGCAAGGAAGTAAGGATGAAAGCAATAGACGGACGTTGAGCGGTTATTGGGCTGGGGCCAAATCGTTGACTCATACTAGCACGAGGAATTGATAAATGTCTATTTGATTGGATTTTGTGATATATACAGTATATATGTATCGAATGAATCATGTATTCTTTGAAACATTGAAAGTGAACAGTTTGAATGTGTTGACAATAAATTTAAATTTAGAAGTCATAGTTTTCCATGCTGCGTCAAAGGTGTCTTCTATTTTTCCCTTCTCTCTCTCTTTAATGAGCTGCAATTGGTTCTTCTCGCATGTCTACCTGTAATTCGGTATTTGCATGCATGAGCTCTGCTACTTAGGACAAAGAAGCCTCTTAACAAGACTGCGAAAAGAACGAACCATTAGAGAAGCCAGGCTAGAAGCCTCTTAAAAAGACCGGCAATGGCACTTGCTCTTCGCACTTTCACCGTTGAGGGAGGTAATTCAGAAGCCACAGCTGTTATGAGTTGCCCTCCAACTCTAGGGCAGCAAGCGACATTTTTGGTATTATGGCGAGTAATGTGCCAAATGAATCAGGTTCTTTTATTCTTTTTCCTTTTCTTTTCTGGTACCTACAGCTACAGAGTTTCGGTTAACAGAAATCCAAGTTGAATGAAGGCTTTCATGGCTCTTTCTTTCTACATGTTGGCTTCCTAGACCTAGTAGCCTATCACCAACTTATGGAATGAACTAGAACTTTCCACTTTTACTCAGATAAATTCTGTACGTTACTTAAAATGCACGGCCACCTTGAATACTTTGGTTTCCCCCTGCTTCTTTGCTTTATTCTCTTCTTTCTTTTTTATTTCGAAAACTGCTTTATTCTCTTCTTTTTCCTTTGCTTTGGAATAGGGCATTCTTTGTCCCCCAAAATCAAAATTTCTCTACTTATTCAAAGTCCACAATCAATTAAGGCAACACTAGTTTGTGTCCCAACTTCAAATGCTCATAGCAATCTTTTTGTCTGTCGATTGATCATATTGCTCCTTTTTGGTGTGAAGAGGATATGGCAGAAGAACTCAACAGCTCTTTAGAGTATACATCAACATGGGTTGTTGCAGTTGTTTGCTTTGTCATTGTTCTACTATCTCTTTGTGCGGAGCGTGCTCTTCATAAACTTGGAAAGGTATCCAAATTTTTAGTTTTTGTAATGGTTACAATCATTACAAGAGTTGCCTCTCTAATCTTTTAGTTTTTTTTTCTCTCCCCCACTCTTGGAAATGCTACCCTTGTGCCATATTTTTTTCTCCTTAATTCTTCAAAGTCGGGAATATGGTGGCACCAAATGCCGCCTATGTAAAGAGCTTGGATTTTTACAAGTGTTGGCAACTTGGAGCAGGGTAAAGCACATAAGTAATGGGTCATGGGGATATGCCATGCAAATCAGATAAAACTTCAGTGTTCCGTATGGTACTGGTGGATGAAGTTTGTCTTTCGTTGTTGGCCATCATTGGTACTCGGAGAAAACCAACTCCAGTAGTCAGTTGCACAATAATAAGTAATTAATAAAATATAGTAGTTAAGTAGAAGCTAGTTCTTGATCTTCTTCCGTAATCACCATACTGCTCCTCATTCAATCTATAGAATTCTTAGCAAGTGGTAATGCACATATGTGAATAAGCAGGAATGTGTTGGCAGGTAATAAATTCCAAAGGAGAAAAACTAATCTCGAAATTTCAATTGTGTTAGAAAATTTTAGGAAATAAGTTTTGGGAGCTTATCAAAACATGGAAAAGGTGCGCATGCACAGTTTAGCTTTGTTTATCCAAAATTCTTGAAAAGTGAGACTTTTTTCTGCTTTCAAATATCATTGATGGGCAACCAGTCACATAGCATTCTTAGCTCTCTTTATAATAAAAAATTGAACTCATAGAACAGTCTGTAAGGGGTTTTTTGGGCACAGTACTAGACTTTCAAGTAAGTTTCTGTTTGGTTTCATGTTTTGTTGTGTTGGAAATTCAGTACTTGAAGCATGAGAAACAAGACGCGCTATTTGAAGCACTACAGAAACTAAAAGAAGGTAAACTATCTTTCTCTATGCTGTTTCTCTTTTAAGGCGTCAAGTATCTTCTTCATTGTATGTCATTGCCATCTACATAATCCATCAAGAACATGTTAGTCATAAGATATAAGCTGCATTGCCATCTCATCTCATTTCATCTTGTATGTTGCCTAATTAAATCAGTACAGCCTAATTTGTTGTAGTTTATTAAGCCTAATCATTGTGTTTCCTATGTCTGAAACAGAATTGATGCTTTTAGGGTTCATTTCCCTTCTACTAACTGTATTTCAAGGTTCCATAAGCCACATATGCATCCCCTCTTATCTCGCATCTCACATGCTTCCATGCAAGCGGGAAACTTCTGAGGGAAACAACCATGAACATTACTCTCTTAATCCATCTCTAAACAATCGGCGGCGGCTTTTGTCTGCAGAAACAAATTCAGATCATTGTCTGAAGAAGGTACTGTATTGTTAGTACCTTATTCAATTTACCATGACTTACAATGTTTGTAAAATGGATGTGGTGCTTGTGTGTACATTACAAATGATGGAACATGTGAACTATGCCTTCTGTCTTCATCCGTCTGACCCCTTATTTTTGACAAAACAAGTTACAGGAGAATGCATCTCAGACTGCATTCCTTAAACTGTAAAAATATCTGATGTATTGGCTTTTCCACATAAACGGGCCATTAAGGAATTTAGATAAAAACAGGTTACATTTTGTACAGGCATGTATCTGAGTTTTGGCGTTGTCATCATTAGAAGATTCCATTGGCACAGGTACAGGCACATATATATGCAAGGTGCCATTGTTATCATAGGGTAATTTAATCCTATGGTTCCATTTAAGACAGCATGAAACTTCCAATGATGACAAGGTGACAATTATCATCACAAACATTAACAATAATGCTTGTCCTTTTTCTTTTTTCTTAGGGGAAGGTTCCGTTGTTATCGTTGGAAGCACTACATCATCTACACATCTTCATCTTTGTATTGGCAGTTGTTCATGTGATCTTTTGTGTCACAACTATGGTTCTTGGAGGGGCAAGAGTAATGCATCTTCCATAAATTTTACTATTTGGATGATTGTCTGAAGTTGCAGTGGATATAATTTAAATCTCTACATTGTAACATATACGGTTTACCATATGTAGATACGCCAATGGAAGCACTGGGAGGATTCTGTCAGGAGAGGGTAATGTCAACTTGAATTTCCCAAGTCTGTTTTAGCTAATCGAAGTGCTTTCATTCATTAAATTGGATATTTGAATTTACTATTCAGTGCAGATCCAACTAGTCGTAAAAGAGTTCGTGCACATCATCATGAGTTCTTGAAAACACGTGGAGTTGGATATTGGAGAAAAGCGGCTGTAATAGGTTGGGTGGTGAGTTTGCTCTAGTTTTGTGTTTGCAAATTGTTATGGAACTGTATATAGTTCTTAACATTCCTTCTGGCTTTATATTATTTAGATTCATATTTAAGGTTGATGAATTACTCCAAGAGCCAAACCACGAAATATCTTTTGCTCATTTCCTGAGGACGATTTATTTTCTTGATCTCAATTGTATTCTGTTTAATTCATTCCTTCCTTACTGACTCGCAATAAATTTACTATTAAAAAAAAAACAAATTCCAAGTGCAGATTGTAATGACAATCCTTGCAATTAGACGATCAGAATTATTATAATATCTTGATGAAAGTAACTGAATATTCTAAGCGTATAATGAATTAAATAAAATATAAAGACTGTACCATGATGTGTTCTATCTTGTTTATGCCTGTGCTGATTAGTTTTGGATTGTTTATTACTGTGTGTTCTGGTAGACGTCATTCTTCAAACAATTTTACGGCTCTGTCACTAAGTCGGACTACATTGCACTGCGACAAGGGTTCATCAAGGTCAACATCCCCTTATTGTTTCTATGTGGTTCACAAGTTTCTGTACAATTTCTGCGTTTTTCTTTATCAAGGTTAAAGGTTTTCCCCCAAGGGCATGTTGTTAGTTACTGAAAATGCACGGGACTTACTCTCAGTTTCGTTTCAGGAGCACTGCCCTGGGAATCCTGATTTTGATTTTCACACATACATGATGCGGACACTTGAAATTGACTTCAGAAAAATTGTTGGGATAAGGTAAATTAGAAAACCTTTTGAGTTTTACTTCTTATTGTTAAGCTTTAAGCTAGCTGTGTGTTAAGATTCTCGTTTGGTCGGAACTGTGTATTAAGAATCATTATATTGAATTTTATGATTGTCAACTAATAAATATTCGACTCAACCGTATGTAGCTGGTACCTATGGCTGTTTGTTGTGCTGTTTTTGTTGCTGAATGTGGAAGGTAATCTTCTCAATCTCAATTTGAGCTCTTATATATATATATATGTGTACTCTCTCACTCAAATCATAATAAAGAGAAAAATTAAACTTATGAATTTTCCAATCATAATGTGCAGGATGGCATACGTATTTTTGGTTAGCGTTTTTGCCGCTGATTGTGAGTGCCTTAAGGTCCATTAATTTCAAGTGGAAGTTAATAATTAACTGACTGACTATGGGAGGAAATGAAATCATCTAATAATGTTTGTGTTGGGTGCATGGGCTGACAGCTTCTGCTTCTTGTGGGCTCAAAGCTGGAGCACATAATTACCACTTTGGCTCAGGAGGTGACAGAAGGGACAACACAGGTTGATCAAGAAGCAAGAGTGAAGCCTTCAGATGAACACTTTTGGTTTAACAACCCTCGCATTGTCCTAATTTTGATCCACTTCATATTGTTTCAGAATTCATTTGAGATTGCTTTCTTCTTCTGGATTTGGGTACGGTAACTAGATATCTTACAATTCTTCGGTAGGTTGTGCATTAATTTCTGCATTGATGTGATGATCAGCTTCACTGCTTTGCAGAGCACGTATGGAATTCATTCATGCATTATGGAGAAGTTGGGTTACATCATACCAAGACTTATTATGGGGTAATTCTATAACCAAAGAATTGGAGAACACAAAAAGCTGAATATGAAATGAACTACTGCTTTGCTTTGCTTGCTTATGTTATGCCTTTGTTCCATCATTCTCTGCAGTGTGATTGTTCAAGTGCTTTGCAGTTACAGCACCCTACCGTTGTATGTTATCGTCACCCAGGTTAGACCTCTCTCTCTCTCTCTCTCTCTCTCTCTCTGTGCTTGTTTTTCCTTGTGTCTTTGTCATTTCACTTGTACAAATTCTCATTTTTATCTTTACTCATGGTATGATGATGATGAAGATGGGTACCATGTTCAAGGAAGGAATGTTTAATAAAATGATACAAAATGGATTGGTATGTGGGCTGAAGATATAAGGAGTCAACATGACAAAACAGACGGCGATGGATCTGTCTCAGAGAGGACAGAGATGTACAAAATGGTGAACATAGAATTATCTCAAATTGTTGATATTACACAACAAGAAACAGTTGCCACCCAAGAAACGGTCCCTCATGTCCAACCGCCATTTTCATCGTCTCAAGCTCAACTTTCTTCATGATTATCTATTTATTCATTTAATTTCATGTAATGTAAGCGTATACTTAAATTAATTATGTGCCCAGCCCAAATAACATATTTCATTGTCATTCAATTGTCTGCGCTCATTCGTCCGAAATAAACTATGAAACTAAGCTTGCTTTGCTTACATCAAAATACTGCATCCTCCCCCTCACCTTATTACTACTATGCGTTCTTAATCTCTCTCTTGCAATAGTACATTTCACAATTATGAGATGCAAGAAGTGGCACTCTACCACACAAGAAAAACTTTGTTACAACGAGGATAATACTATTTTGCTATCCCTGCCAATAATGCTATGCCACATGGAAGTGTTATCACACGTATCTTAGCGTTATTGGCCGAGATGGAAAATAGTGCTATCCCCATTTCATGGAAGTCTTTCTCCTACCACACACATTTCACAAGTGGTCTCCCAGGCGTTGGATAATTTTAAAAGAAATCCAATGGTGAATTTGCCGTGTGCATCAAAAATGACATCCCTGATCCAATTGATTTTAAGTGAAGCAACACACACCAGAAGTCATAAAGATGCTTTCACATTACGATATTTACAGGAAATCAATCGAAATATCCAAATCTCTAGTTCTGCAGCTAGTCGAGAAGGCTCGCGGCAGATTAGAAAAATAAAAAAGTAAAAAATTAGCTGAGAAGTCCTCTCCATCAGAGTATCTTCTTATGGCATTTGCAGCAAAGAAACCAGGTAGATAAAATATGTAACATCCACGCGACCACAAAGTATGCGCACTGTAGTTCAAAATTTTCTACATTTTATACACAATAGTATCAATATATTTTTTTTCTTTTCTATATTTGCCTATTTGACATAGTTACAAAACCTACCCCTCCCCTTCTTCCCCTGAAAGGGGAAGACATAAAACATCGCTAACAAATCCACTTATCTGCCATCAAATTCCCCTGGGTGACCAGGCTACCATGTTCCTATATGCTTAGGTTTTTCAACAGGAAGCTTTCTCCATCTCTAAACTGCCATGGGCCGAGGCAGATGCTTCCACTCCACTAGTTTCTTCTTCTCTTTTAAGCTCGTTTAAAGCATTTTTGCATAAACAGTAAAAGCAACTGTGGTTATAATTGCAACAATTAAGGATATAATGTTGTATATGATCTCAACTGTAGTCAAGTGATAGTTCCCATACTTAACATCTGCAAATGTCCTTATTAAGCGACCACTGCACAAGAAAATAGCAGAAATGGTTGAAAAAATAGTTTATATTTTATTTCTAAAGATCAACATTTGACTGGCAATAGCCAAGCATGGTTAGCTGAAATATCTCATGGGCATGCCTTGCGTGCAAATGTATGGATATCAGAACGAACTTTACTTTGATGAGATTTACCACTAATACTTAACAGAAATCGGAAAACATAAAGCATTACGTTTTTCTTCAGTAATAAATTCCCTTGGAATTTGATGGTTCAAAAGTTATCATAGACAGAGGATAGAGAACCGACCTGTAGATGTAAATGAAAGCTTCTGGCACCATTCCAGCAACTGATCCGCATAAGTAGGGCCAAAATGTCATACTGGTAACCACAATTGCATAGTTGAAGATTGTGTACGGAAAGGGTGAAACCCTAAAGAGAGCAACCACTCGAAATTGATGGAACCAACTACCTTCCCCAGCAAGTCTAATCATTGCAGCATTCCGGGGCCATCTCTTTAACCATTGCTGCCCACATAACCAATGACATATCACAGGCATATAAATGTAGTATTATTTTAAAACATAAAACAAAAATGAAAAAGAAAAACTCTCTTCAACAAGTCATCATCAGTTAGAAAAAATGAAAACCTTACATGGATGCGGTCACGGAAAAACAGACCAATCAAATATGGCAGGACCATTCCAATAGTTGTTCCAACCATGATTATAACAAACCCAAAGCCATAACCAAAAATCATTCCAGCCAACCACATGGAAGGGCCAGAAGGTATTAAGACCACAGGGAACAAAGCGAGAGAAGCAACAAGAACAAGGGCAAGAACAGGACGGCCAAAGGCAGTGGCTTCCCACTGCAATATTGGCAAGAGAACCTGCCATATATTAAAAAGCTTCAGGTATTAAGAAAAAATATAAGATTTTGAATCCGCTGAACAACCAAACAAAGTATATAATTACAAACAGGACAATGGTGAGTTGACTATAACATGTTATATAAGATCCAAGGAAAGAAGAGTTAATAGGAAATACCTTTTCAAAAAGAAATGGCATCCCCCATTTTAAGAAAATGAGAAGAAATATAATGATAACAAGGCACCCAGCTAAGGCTCTAATCCACCACAAAAAAGATTTAACTCTTGTTTCTGATTGTGGCTGCAAGATATCAGCTTCTGCCGTCCTTGTTTCGTTGGATATAACCAGCCGAACGTATTCACTGTCTTCTCTCACACGATACACTGAGGTTGAATGCTTCCCTAACTCTTCGGAAGTGTTTGTCATCATTAATGAGACCCCAGAGGCAGTAGAAAGCGCTATTAAATTCAACTGAAAATTATTAAAGTGTCAAGTAAGATAAGATACACATATGAAACCCTTCCCATATGAGAAAAGTTACATGAAAATGATCAGAAGTTTATAGGGGGAGAAAAGGTGAAATATTCAGCATCAAAATTTAAATGAGAATCCTGAACCATTCATGCCAAGGGCAAGTACTACCTATATCACACCCTAAATCATATGATATTCTATGAGAATTCCACTAGTGACAGATGTAAGAAGGAAATTGGTACTTACTATATCTAGATTTTATCTATTACAATTATAGTTTAGGAGTTTGATGATTAGGGGTTTAATTATCTTGTCATTGCAGTATTTATTCCCTTACAGCCTTTTGTCATGTGATTGCTTAAATGATAGGCCGTTCTATAATGGAGATTTAGAGTTCTTGGTGTATGATAAGAACAAAGACTTGAGTTTGAACTGCTTTGCCTCTCTCATTCTCCTCTATCTATTTTAGTTTTTCTTCCCTAGACCCTTCTTTTTCCTATTTTATTTTGGAATTATAGCAAACTTCAATGTCAATGATCACTGTTGTCCTTGGAGCACGACCATGTGCAACAATCACCATGTGTGAAGCCCCGATGACAAATCTGCAGGGTCTCATGTGTAGCCCCATGCACCATAACCCAGCCAATACCTCTTTCATTGGTCATCTCTGACTGTTGTTCCATTGAACTCAAAACAATGTGCACATGGCACCAGATTCAGTCTCACCACTGGTTGTCGTCTCTGCTCCTCCGTGTCTTGTTTCGATAAACCAAACATATCAATTGGCTACACATCCCCGATATCATTCTGGTCAAATGCCACCAAGTTCACATGTGATAAATCCAATCTGAATCGACTGTAACTTATCTGAATCTTCTGGAGTTACAAGAGTGACAGTAATCACTCAACATTAGCTGAAATTTCCTAACTCACAGTACCAAGAATTTATTGAGAACTGATGAAATTACCTTATTCTGCCTGATACAAACATGATCCACCCTTGTTATGCTCAAATCAAACACAACACCCAGTTTAATCTCAAACCAGCTTTTACAAACAAGAAGGAAAAATATAGTTTTGTTGCAGCCATCTTCAGAATTGAGTTTTTAGCAACTACAGAACAACTTTGGGCTTTTGTTCACCCTTCTTAAAGCCATCAATGCCTAGTTTACCTAGTCTGGAGGATGCAGATCCCATGCAAGAAAGACAGTCGCTTTTATTCCCAGATCTTGATTAGCATCAAACCACTCTTGTCATGGAGAGGATCTAATGTTGACAATTATATTCTTGTCATTGAGACTCTCACCCATTGATTTCATAATTCCTCATCAATTTAACCGTGCAGCTCAAACTAAAGAATTGTTGATCTTGTAGCTTCCAAAATCAAAACAAAAACCATTAATGTTACAAAACCTGAACACAAGTTTCATACAATCTGGGAAGAATAATGGCGTAGGTGCAACCATGAAAGTGAAGAAATTAAGGACATCATGTTTGTATCGTTAGAATTAGAATTTAGGATTTACTTAAAATTTAGACTCTTTGAAGAATTTAATTATTATGTTTTTGCAGTATATATTAGTTTTTAGGTATTTGATTACTTTGAGATTGCGTACAATACAAATAGACCTTATTGTAATGGATTTTAGAGTTTTTGGCATTTTGACTTAAAATGCAGAGCACTTCTCTTTCTTTTTCTTTGTCTATCCTAACTTCTTATTCTTATATCTATTTCTCTCTCTTCTTCTCCAGATTCATAGACGAAATGCTCAGATAATTTGCAATAACATCATTAAATACATAATCAAGGGCAACTGGGTAAAGCAGAATAAGGAATGTTACTACTTTGGTGACTGTCCAATGACACCTTTGACAGCCTAAAAAAAAGATTCAAGAAGCTTTGCACCTTTGACCATAAAGTGTCAACTTTAAAACCCTCGCTTCTCTTGAAAACATTTTGTCTCTCCCCTCAACTTACCAGTCAAAGAAAATAGTTTCTGTTCTGATTTTGATTAGCATTTTCAAAATCAGTAAACACAGAATAGTTGCAGCAAAAGGGGCAAAAGTAAAGGGGATGATGTTAAACATTTTCATGAAGTGAGGAAGAGAATAAGCCACTTACAGGAAACTGCCAGAGGCGCTACTCTTCTAACTTATATCTCTATGTGCTAAGTGCTAAGTTGAACGGCACAGCAAACAGCAGCTTCATCGCATTTGGATAAATAATTGATAAGTACGCTGTGAATACATGTTTGAAAAATTAGAGTTTGCATTTGCTGAAGTAAGAATCCCTGAAGTATATATTTTCATTACCCGACCTCAAGAAAGTGGAATTTAAGAGCAAGTAGCAGAAATCAACGACTGCCCAAGATCATAGATAGATAGATAGATAGATAGATAGAAAACATTGATGCTTGTCCTGAAGACAACTAGGGTTTCGTATCACAGCATGGGAAGCACGAATTACTGAAATTAACAAGCGGAAAAGAAAAGAAAAGAATCAATCTACGCACTTTACCTACGGCTGTTTCTAGTGGAGCCGAGCTGAGAAGTTTGATTGAGTTGGACCACCGCAGCCGGAAAAGCTGGCTGCTAGCAGTCGGCGGGATTGCTAGTTGTTGCTTTGTTCCGAAATTATCCTTTTCAACCACCCCACGCCAGGAGAAAGTGTAAGGTCTCAGAAACCAAATAGAAAAGAGTAAATAATATCTTCGTCTTCAGTAATATCTCTTCGTTTTCTTTCAATTTACTTCTTTATAAAACTTATTATGCGTACGTGGACCGTGGACCGAGCAATGGCATAGTCCGCCAACCCAACATGACTTTTTGTTAATTGGTCAACACTATACCTCAAATTTTTTTGGAAAATGGCCTCCAATGCCACCCATTTCATAATCTTAATTAAAAATACCACCCTTTCCCAAAAATTTTAAAACTATCACGTATAAATACATCTTTATTGTCGACTGATTGCACCCATATCACATTTTCAGAAATTTTGTTCTCTCCACTGACCACAGCTTCTTTTGCTTTGCAGAGTCGTAATCGATAATATTGTCTGCTACACTGAGATCTTCGCCGCCTACCACACATCCACCGGAAAGGCCCTGGCTTTCACATCGTCTTCCGCTTCTTCTCACTTGGACTCACCAACCCAGCACGCCAACTCGCCCAACAGCTCGCTGGCGTTGCAGAGATCGCTCACTTCTGTAGTTGCCAGCAGGATGAAGAAGGCATTGCGTCTCAAATCGGCGGGTTCGGGCTCCAAGAAGAGTCTTGGGTCCGGTGGGTCCGGGTCGGGACCCGGAAAGCCCAAGCGGGTTATGACGGTGGGTGAGCTAATGAGGATCCAAATGGGGATTTCTGACGCTATGGACTCTAGAGTCAGGAGAGCTCTGCTTAGGATTTCTGCTGCTCAGGTGAGCTCAATTTCTGTGCTTTCTTATTTGTGATCTTGGTTGATCTGGTTTGATGGGTTTGATTTTGTTTGGTGGGTAATGCTTGATTTTTATCATTGTGATAATTGTGATGATGGGATGGATATGGAGCTTAATTTTGCTACTGGTTTGGCCAATTTTGGATTTTGGTTTTTCTTACTTTAAAACAAAAATTGTTTCTTCACTAAGTGTAGTTCAATCTGATAAAACTGACAATGCAAAATGTTTCACGAATGTTTAATTTCATAATGGGTAATTTCAAACTTTTGTAATTTCATAATGTTTAATTTCATAATGCAAAATGTTTCACGAATGTTTAATATCAACATATTAATTTGAGTGATTATGCCACTATTTAATGATTTTAGGCTCTCCTATTGTGTGTATTTAACTGGTTCATATGATGCTGTTTCTTCAGGCCTTCATTCAGAACTTGGCATTGTTTCTCACTTCATTTTACAAGGCAAGTTTGTTAGCTTTCAGATAAATATGTCGATATATTGCCTTGCCTTCGCCAGCCGTATTTGGATATGATAGTTTTGCTGTTTGGTTTATGTTGTAACAAAATCTTTAAGCTTTACGTATTGTGTTGTCTATAATTATTGTTTACTTATCCATAAAAGAGTTTGCAATTATGATTAATCTTTAAGCCTCCAATGAGGATGTTATTAGCTGTCTCCTTTTCTTTTTGCAGTCACATATTCGTGTGCTTGAAACCACACAACAGAATATAGCCGCATTGCTGATGGGTCTTGAATATCTAATAAACATCTCATATATGGATGACACTGAAGTTTTTAAGGTATAATTAATTATGATGTGCTCTCTAGCACCCACCCGAAGGCCCTATTTAGCTCTTTCTCTCTCTCTTCCCATTTGAACAATGAAGTGATAATTTGACTTGGAATTGGTTGTTTCTTCGAGCAAGATTGCTTAGAATATTAGAATTCCTTGGTTTTGGAACTGTTTGAGTTGCATCATAATTTGGATAACCCTGCAGCAGCTGCAAATATGATGGGGCTGCCAGTAATTTAGATACTTTTATCTTTGAAATTTTTGTTGTTTTGAGTTTTCTGTTTTCTACTTTGTATGAATGCTTCCTTTAGTTTTACTTGAATCCCCCTCTTTTTCTTTAGTCTATCCGACTGTAATTTATTTTTTAATCTCTTTGTAGTTGAATAAAGATGTATGGTTTGAAATTGGTAGTAGATAGGTAAGTCTTTTCTAGGTTTCCATCAACGAGAAGGTTGTCTAGGAAAAGACCAATTTATTATCTCAGAACTTGCAAACCTTCCATATTGAAAGAGACTCAACAAGTCTGAATTAGTTAGGTGTCTTAAATTTGTTTTGAAATTTTGGGGAGATTTTCAGTTAACCATTGGAACCTTTACCATTTTCCTATCAATAACATTCAAATCTTTTCCCAACAAATTTTGAGACAGTAGGTTTCTAAGCATTGTGTCCATGTCACTCTTGCTCATTCACGTGGACAATCACATTAGCCATGTAATGCTTCTTTAGTTTTGTTTTAAAAATGGATTTTCTGTGTATGAGTTTAGATATGGTATTGGGCAACTTTCTTGTTAGAAATTAAGTTCAGAAGCCTTTTGAAAATACTATCTACAGAAGCTTTTTAAATTTATTTTAATCTTACCAGAAACTCAGTTTCTACGATATGCTTCTTTCTTAATAGTAGAAAACGTATTGGATTATTTGTTATTTTCTTTATTGAATGTTTTCATACTTATTTTTTGTTATTGGTGTCATTTTGATCTTGTAGATCATGAGGGAGATAATATTTGTCACACCTTGAGCATTGGAACAACTTAAACACCTTATGCTGGGCAATAGGGTCCATATCTGGTTCCATGATGGAAGAACAAGTATTGTTTGCTCTTTGTTCATCAGTTTATTTTTATGCTTAACTGAAGTCTTAATTATCTTTGATTTGATGTATAGCTCTGATTTGAGTTTTGAGTTTCATGAAATTTTCAATTATTGTACAATTCTTTAATCACAATTTCATTTGCGCTCTGCATTTGCACATGGGTTGTTTCAGTCATTATTTCTATATCAGTTTGTGTTTCATGAATATAACGATTGTATATATTTGCCTATGTTTGTTTCTAGTCAGCAACTTTGTCATAGGCATATTAGTGTAGTTACTGTATTGCAAGGGCTGAAATCTGGATGATATCAACTTCTTTTTATTGTTGTTTTAAAGTGAGGTATGTATGGGTCTTATGAAATTTTTACAGAAATATATTGGAGGGCAAATAATTTTATTTTAGTTTTTTATTCCCAAATGATACCCAAAACATGTAAGCTTCACACTATGTTAATTTCTGCAGGATGGGGAAACATTGGACAATGAGTTGGAGGTTGTTGAGGGAATGAAGCTAGACAGGGGTTACATATCCCCTTATTTCATCACCAACCAGAACAATCAGAAATGTGTAAGTTTTAGTTTGACTCAGCGATAACTATGTCTTGAAACTGTTAGAGGGCAGCATCTCAAGTCCCTTTTTGCTTGATGCTGATTATCTTCAAACTTGTGTATGTGCTGATAGGAATTGGAAAATCCTCTAATCATAATCCATGAGAAGAAAATCTCAAGTATTAATGTTGTGGTTAAAGTATTGGAGTTGGTTTTGTAGGTTAGCATTTCTCTGGTTAGGTTCACTAGTTTCTTCATTTTTACTATGAATTGGTTGACAAACTTTTGCTCCTTTTCAGAAGCAAAGGTCCTTGCATTTTGTTATATATTTCAGAACCAAAGTTATAAAAGAAAATGGTTTTCCTCTTTGTTAATTGAGAATCATCTGCAGTTATGATTTCAGATCTGTAGATAACCTGTTGTTGCTGATATTGCTACACAGGAGGAGAATAGAACAGCTTGGAAAATGTGCAAGAAGGGAGAGCTAACTCATACAACGAAGAACAAATTGTTGAAGTTAAGATCAAATTAGTAGAATTTGTGAGCTCTCCATTATTTATAATTATAGGTAGGAAGTATGTATGTAATAGAGCAAAGATTGGTTGACTATGTAATAACAATTGAATTTTCAAGTTTTATGAAAGAAATAATTTTTACTTCGCAGGATAATATTGTTAGGGTTCAGTGGCGATTTATTTTCCATGTCTAAATTGTAGTCTGTAATGGATGTGTGTGTATTGTATGTAGATTGACTTAATATTGCTATCATATTGCTTGTGTATTGTACTAATATTGCCTATGTATTGTATACATATTGTATGCATATTGCCACCATATTGTATGTATATTGTGATGCTATTGCTATCGTATTGCCATTATATTGCCATAATATTGCCTATCTAATGTATGTATATTGGCCTAATATTGCTATTATATTGTATGTATATTGACTACGGCTCATCAATGGGTTTACAGTTTAGGCCATACTTCATTTAAAAAGAAGAAGAGGAGAAAGAAACAACGTGCCTTTCAAAAACAGGTAGTCAGGTGCATCATAATTGCACTGTAAGACATTGTGAGAAATTATTTTAAAAAATAATAACAACTAAAAAATAATTTACAAAAAAAGGAAGTATGAATAAAGAGACAGAGAGCAAGAGAGCAAATAGGGGGAGAAAGAGATAGAACGAAGCTAGAGAGAGAGAGACAGAGAGAGAAAGAGCTGCGCTACAGAAAGAGAGGAGAGAGAGAGAGAGCTGCGATAGACAGATACCAAAGAGAAAGAGAGATGTGCCAGAGAGATTGAGCTGAGTGAGCTAAGAGAGAACAAAATTTCTGAACATGTGAAAAATCAGCAATAAGTGGACAATAATTATATTTTATAGGTGATAATTGTAATACTATTGCTATCTTATTGTGGTTATATTGCTCTAATATTGCCTCTATAGTGTACATATATTGGCCTAATATTGCTATTATATTGTATGTCAATGGCCATTTGGTCTAATAACAGTCTCCACTTCGTTGAAAGTAATCCTGAATTCAAATCTCATGGGCACGACAATTGTTATCCATTATATTAGCATGAATTGATGTTGACTTTTGAAATGATAGTTGGAGTTGCACATCAATTAATATTCAAAAGGAAAATAATTCTCTCCCTCAATGAATCTTCGTTCAAAAGAAGGTAGCTGTCAAATATTGAGTGTAAAAATGCAAGATCCACAGTAAATTAATTGGCCACAAACCACGTATTACAAAACCGGGATGATTTTTGGCATGCTTGAAAAGACAAGGGCCAAATACAACATAGAACAATACAAGTAAAGATAGTCAATTGTCATACACACAAAATTAGTCCTCATCCATCCCTGCAGGCTGATCTCTCTTACTAGGGTCACTTGCTGGTTTTGCCATTATAATCAGCAAGATAGTCAAAGCATTGTCAACAACCTTTTTTTAATGAAGGTATTAAATATTAAATAGGCTGCAATCAGATAGATTCATCATTTCTCACACATTTTCAGCTAGCCAGAAAACCCCCAGCATATAGATTTTCTATTTACTATCAAGCCTTCTGCACTGAAGCCATATTCATTATAAAAGTTCAACATTTCCCAAAAGTAACTTTCAATTTTATTTTATTTTTCCAAGTTAAAAACTAACATTTGCGACCGTTCTTTTGAGTTATAAAGGAGTTTGTGTTCTGAGTACACATGGGCATACATGCATTTGTGCCAAGTTAGGGGAACGTTGAAAAAAAATAAGAGAAAAAGACTTCACAAAAAGTATAAAAGTATAAAATTAAATAAATAAATAAAAAGAATAGTAAACTAATTTATAAAGCCTCGACTTTTTATTATTATTATTTTTTTAAACTGTATGTAGTTTAGCATTTTTTCTGCTTTGGCCTCAAAGATGCAAACAGGGATTCAAAGATGTAGTTCATACCAAATTTGGTTCGTCAGGTTTAAGTAGAAGACCTGGATATGAAACTCTTACACTAGGCAGCACTTTACCCTGAGAATGATTTATATTCACTTCGTACCTTGTTAGGGTTGCTTGCCTGCATGCAATATAACCCCAAATATCAAATGTAGTTATAAAGCAGAGAAACAAATTATATAAAACAGGTCACTATTGAATGACATCATTCAAGACATCAGTGAAGCCTTACGTGTAAAGTTTTCCGCCTTATGTGTGCCCACAGTTAGAACAAGCAAGCCAGGAGCATATGATGAAACTAAACTTATACGTATCAAGTCTAAAAGAACAAATAATGTACAATAAGTAGGACCCTTTTTGCCAAAACAAAGCATATTGGAACCATATCAGCAAAGCAATAATAATTGTCCAATTTGGAAATCTCCAACTCAATCACCAATGTCATAAATCAATATTAATAACAATTTCACGAATCAAGCACAATCTTGGATACTACACTTCTGTTTCCCTGACTGGAACATGAGCAGAAAGCTTCTATTATGATCTACAGTAGCATAGGTGTCCTAGAATTCAATATTATTCTTCATTCTGAAAATGCACAAACTTAACAAGAGTCCGAGACTTCCAATTTACTAGTCACATAAGACTTCCAATCTCACTCTCCTTCTCCCCTTCCCCCTCTCTCCTCTCAGAGCAAGACCAGAACGTAAAATCCAAACAGCCTATCCCACTCCTCTAGTACCTAAAACTAACCACGTAAAATCCAAAGCAGTCATTTTATATAACACTCAATATTTTCTTAGTCAAAATCCAAAACTAGTGACACTCTTCAGGTTCATAACACTCCCATTTGACAAGACAACAAGGACCAGAGGAGATCAATAGACTATGTTTCTACACATGCATATAGCAAGTTATTAGTATCAACGCACGTCTTACCCAATTTTTAATAGCATGTCATGTCCAGGAAATGCTTCTCCGTTGCTTGTACAGAGGCATGAGACTGTCATTGCCAACTGCAAGGAAAAACATAACTTAAATGAAAACACTATAATTCCAGAGCTAGATACAGTGAAGGCATCAAAAAATTGGTGAACCAAAATAAAAATAATCTGGTTTGTAGTTGAGATGCAGTATAGCAGTCAAGAACAATAAGTATTCTTTTAGTCAGTATTTCAATGCAAGGCTGCGGCCCATCACCTCCAGTGTGAAATACTATTATTTAAACCGAAGTTACTGAAATACTATTATTTAAACCGAAGTTACTTTGAATGTACGATACAAAAAATGTAAATGCACACATTGTTCAGGAAAAAGCTTGAGAAGTTCACCTTTTCAAAAGTAGTTTCCCCCATTCCTGTTTTGTAGAGTTCATACACCATGGCAGTCAAAAATATTTTACTCAGCCTGGAAGAAGTTTTCATCACTTGCTAGGAAAAAACAAAGAAAAGAATTAGCATTAATATATCTCTAAAGAAGGTAGAGAGAATTTTTATTAATTTTTTTTTGTTCTTCCAGATACAACATAGATAAACAAAACTTCCTTTCAACCCAATAACAATTTATGCAGCTAAAGTTGTATGGAGTTGAATGCTACTAGTGCAGAAATTCACTACTTTAAACCAGCATCAGATAATTTGGGTCCTGAAAGCCATTTTTCACCATGCTACTCCTTTAAAGAATGACACTTATAAGATTTAGCAAACTCCAACTGACACCATTTTCATCTTTGTTACTCGACCAAAAAACTATGTAGCTATCTGGATCTCATGTATTTCATATTAGGAATGCATATTAACGTAGTAATCACTGCGTCATATGCCTCACTCAAGGGTATTGATTACCTCTTCTAAGATGTAACATACCATTTAAATAAAAGAAGTTTCACCAACAGAAATCATTTTTCATCATGACTGTAAGATATAATCTGACTCACTTGAATAAGAGGTGCCTGGAACATTTCTTGTATGGCTGCTTCAACCTCTGCCATTCCAACAAGTGATTTTCCTGCAAAGTAGGTACATATAAATCCTGTAAGTGACAAGAATTAGAGCCTCAAAGCAAGATAATAACGCTCCTAAACAAAGCAAGCACATAGAGTTTAAGCTACATGAGATGTTGGTGCTTAATAATACCAATGTAGTAACAGAGTATTTCTTTTGAAACTTCAGGATACAGGAAAGAAGAGAAGTTGACAATTCTAATTCCTTGGTTGACCAAAACAGAATACTGGTTTAAAGGTTGCTTAATTTTCATTTTTTCAAATAAAAGAAAATGAAACAAAACCAATACCAAAAACAGAACAAAAAAACAAAACATGTATTATTTGGTATTTAAACCAGCTCTTCTATGACACAAACTCTCATTATGGGACCAGTTGGCCAATGAAAGGCCATGTTTTTTTTCTCTGACAAAAGTAATATTCTAAACTACTCTAATGATGCTTATGTTGCTAGATTGTGAATTTAGATAACACACTAAGACAAGAACCAACATAATAAATGGCCTAAATTCAGAGTCTTGCAACATAAGCATTTTACGCTGCCAGATTGTCTGGCAAGAGAACATTTCTCTACGAAGTATAGTTTAAAGCTTGCTTTGACAGAACGTATTCTGGATTTTTCAAGTAATCCTAAAATGTAAACTGTTTCACCATCATAAAACTAAAAACAAAAGCAAAAAAACAAAAGTTACAAACTAGAATCAATATGATGTTAAATAACAAATAAGGTGCAATCAGATAGATTCATCATTTCTCACACATTTTTAGCTAGCTAGAAAACCCCTGGCATATAGATTCTATTTACTATCAAGCCTTCTGCAACAAAAGTACATAGATTTTACGGGATGAATATTCAAAGGCATGAAGTTTAGATTCATTAACCTAATTACTTCTGGCAGAAGTTCATAAATGGGATGGATACCCGAAATTTAAAATAAACAAAAAAGCTTCCTACCTGTAATGAGTACATCAAACACAAGGCTTGATTGATTACAATTCCAATGCAGACGACCATTCACAAAAGTTTGAAATTACCCATTATGAAATTAAACATTCGTGAAATATTTTGCATTGTCAGTTTTATCAGATTGAACTACACTTAGTGAAGAAACAATTTTTGTTTTAAAGTAAGAAAAACCAAAATCCAAAATTGGCCAAACCATTAGCAAAATTAAGCTCCATATCCATCCCATCATCACAATTATCACTATGATAAAAATCAAGCATTACCCACCAAACAAAATCAAACCCATCAAACCAGATCAACCAAGATCACAAATAAGAAGGCACAGAAATTGAGTTCACCTGAGCAGCAGAAATCCCAAGCAGAGCTCTCCTGACTCTAGAGTCCATAGCGTCAGAAATCCCCATTTGGATCCTCATCAGCTCACCCACCGTCATAACCCGCTTGGGCTTTCCAGGTCCCGACCCAGACCCACTGGACCCAAGACTCTTCTTGGAGCCCGAACCCGGCGATTTGAGACCCAATGCCTTCTTCATCCTGCTGGCAGCTACAGAAGTGAGCGACCTCTGCAACGCCGGCGAGCTATTGGGCGAGTTGGCGTGCTGGGTCGGTGAGTCCAAGTGAGAAGAAGCGAAAGCCAATGTGAAAGCCAGGGCCTTTCCGGTGGATGTGTGGTAGGCGGCGACGAAGATCTCAGTGGAGCAGACAAGAGAGAGCAAAGACAGAGACAGAGAGTTGTGCTACAGAGAGAGAGAGCCAAGAGAGACAGAGAGCTGCGATAGACATATACCAAAGAGAAAGAGAGCTATGCCAGAGAGAGAGAGAGAGAGAGGTGAGTGAGCTAAGAGAGACCAAAATTTATGAACTTGTGATAAATAAGCAATAGGAGGACAATAATTTTATATTTATAGGTTATAGTTTTACAAAAATTGGGAAGGGGTGGTATTTTTAGTTAATATTAGCAAATGGGTGGTAGTGGAGGTCATTTCCCAATTTTTTTTTCTTTCCAAGAGTCACTCTACCTCAAATAAATTAAAAAGAGTGCTACTAAACGAACTCTAAAATTAATTGAGTACATCCTAATATTTTAATTAAAAAGTTAAATACTTTTTTGATCACTCGTTTTACATGAAAATTCAATTTGGTCACTGAGTACAAAATTTAGCCAAATTGGTCATCGTGTTTTCCAAAGTTTACAATTTATAGACATTTTGTTATCTTTAGTTCAGTGCAGTTTTTCATTTTTTTTAGGAAGCACTTTCAATCTTCTTCCTCTAACTCAACAAGTTAGGTATATTATGTTATTAGGGTTTAGTGTGAGGGTGGAGGAGACGATGTTATGAATGAGGTGTTGCTATGTCCGGTGGAGGAGATGACGACGGTGATTCACAATTCAATATATCTTCTTTTGTCATTTTATATTAGAGTAAATTAGTAATTCAATAAATGGTTTGGTAGTAGGGTGTACTCGTTTAATTTTAGAGTTCGTTTAGCAGCACTCATTAAAAAATGCAAAGGAACTTATAACTCAAGAATCCTTGCATCCGAGGTCCTTTATTGGAATTTCACTCCCACAATATCGCTTGTATAAAAAAATAAAAAAATAAAAAGAGGTCCCCTCCCAGTAGGGGTAGGCATCAATCTGGCTGAACCAAACCATAATTACCGGTTTGGTTTGGTTTTGACCAAGAAAAAGTCAAATGGTTTAAAAACTGAATCGGATTGTATATGGTTTGGTTTGGTTTGATTTTAAACTTTTGTAAACCGGCCTAAACCAAATCGGACCGTTTATGTGTATATTTATTTATTTATATTATATTTTACAGGTGTAATTAGGGGTGACAATTTCCGATACGACTCGTTACACAACGCGAAACCTGCATGAAAAAAACACAACCCGAACTTGCACGATTAATAATTGGGTAATTTTTAGGTCAACCCATTGTGACATGTTTATTAAACGAGTGGGTTTTGAGTCAACCCACCCACCCGCTAAAATACCTGTTTAACCAGTTTATTAAACGGGTCATGGTAGTCCGTGTAATACCTTCCAACCCGCTAAAAAATGTAAGAAAATGGAGACTTAAACACACAAGGGGTTGGCACGTTACACAACTTGAAACATGCACAGAAAAAACACGACTTGAACCTGCACGATTAATAATTGGGTAATTTTCGGGTCAACCCATTATGACCTGTTTATTAAACGAGTGGGTTTTGGGTCAACCTGCCAACCCACTAAAATACCTGTTTAGAAATTGCCTTTGTCAAAATATATGAGAATTGATCCTCGGACTTTACGAAAGGAAACTTAATTACTTTAGCTTTGAGCCTCTGTTTGATATAATGTCAATCTACCTCAACATGTTTGGTGCGATCATGTTGAACTGGATTCTGTGTAATAGCTATTGCAGTCTTATTGTCACAAAAGAGATTCATTACAGATGTAGGTTTATACTCAAGTTTAGTAAGCAACCTCTTTAACCAAATGAATTTGCAAATTCCTTTAGTCATACCTCTGAACTCGGCTTCTGCACTGGATAAGGCGATCACCTTCTATTTCTTGCTTCTCCATGTAACCAAATTATCTCCTAAGATTGTGAAGTAACTGGATGTGGATTTCCTATCTGTTATACTTCCTGCCCAATTTGCATCTGTGTAACCATCAACATTCAAATGACCATGTTTTGAGAACATAAGTCATTTTTCATGTGCAGACTTTAAATATCTAAGTATATGAATAACAACATTCATGTGGTCTTCACTCCGAGAATGCATAAATTGATTGACTACGCTCACCTCATAAGCAATGTCTGGCCTAGTATGAGACAAGTAAATCAATCTTCCCACTAACCTCTGGTATCTTTCTTTGTTAGTTAGAACTTGATCCGGGTATTCTCCAAGATGATGATTTTGAACAATATGAGTGTATACAGGTTTGCAATCTAGCATTCCTATTTCTGTCAATAAGTCCAAGACATATTTCCTTTGAGAAAGAAATATGCCTTGTTGTGATCGGGCCACCTCAATCCCCAAGAAATATTTGAGTCCACCTAGATTCTTTATCTCAAATTCAGTAGCCAAATAGTCTTGTAGTTGAGATATTTCATGTTTATCATTCCCAGTAATAATCATGTCGTCAACATAGATTACTAAAGTTGTTACCTTCCCTTTCTGATGTTTCAAGAACAAAGTATGATTTGAGATGCTATGTCTAAAACCATTGTTCTTCATTGCCATGGTGAACCGTCCAAACCATGCATGTGGTGACTGTTTCAATCCATACAACGCCTTTCGTAATTTACATATTGTTCCAGTCTTAGTAGTATTATATCTAGGAGGAATGTCCATATATACTTCCCTCGTGAGTTCTCCATGTAGGAAGACATTCTTTACATCAAACTGGTGTAGTGGCCAGTCCAAATTAGCTGCGAGGGACAATAAGACTCTGACTATGTTCAATTTTGCAACGGGTGCAAAGGTTTCTTCATAATCTACACCGTAAGTATGTGTGTACCTTTTCGCCACAAGTCTTGCCGTGTATCGCTCGATAGATCCATCATCGTTGTGTTTTATGGTAAACACCCATCTACATCCGACAATATTTTTTTTTCCCATGGTAAAGTTTTCAATGTCCAAGTCTAATTCTTTTTAATAGCTTTCATTTGTTTCTTTATAGCTTGAACCCACTTAAGATCTTTAAATGCTTCAGCAACCTTGGTTGGGATATGAATAGCAAACAACTGATGCACAAAGGCCTTGAGTGGTTCAGACAGCTTCTCAGTAGTTACATGATTCGCAATTGGATACTTTGATGTATTGCCAATGTCAAGTGAATAACGATTTGGTGTCTTTCCACGATTCTGCCTGAAAGGTAATTGGTATCAAATAGATTTATCCTTTAAATTCACAAGTGTAGTAGGAGTAGTTACCTTAAGGATATTCTCAGGAGATTGGTCTATTTGTACTGTTGAGTTAGAATGGGGGTCTTCATCTTGTTGTTCTGTATTGTTTGTAGGTGTGGGACTCAGATCAGAAACATCTTTACAGAGATCAGGTGGGTTAAGCGATTGATCACTATGAATGGGCAATTGATTGCTTTTCGGTAGAGAGTAATCTTGTGTTCCAGACTCGGGACTATCGATCATTTTTGTGTAGAGGATAATTTCTTCGTTTTCCAAGTTGCTCCAATTCTGCTCTTCACTTCGTATCTCTCCATGAAGCATAGAATTAGATGATGGGTTATGGAAGAATAACTCATATTACAAAAATGTCACATCCAAAGTGACATAGGTACGTCGGGTAGGAGGGTGATAACAGCGGTAGCATTTCTGATGAGTAGCATAACCCACAAAAACACAACGAAGCGCACAGGGATCAAGTTTGCTAGGTTGATTTTTGTGGAGATGAATGAAAGCCACACATATAAAGATTCGGGGTGTGAATACCAAAACAGAAGGCAGAGGCCCGTGTTGCGCAAGCACTTGTAAGGAAGTTTTAAATGTCAATACAATATAAGGCATGCGGTTGATCAGGTGAACTGTGGTGACAATAACATCATCCTAGTAATGAAGAGGAACATGAGCGCCAATCAGAAGTGCTTGGGCGATTTTAAGAAGATGTCGATTCTTTCGTTTAGCAACACCATTTTGTTGTGGTGTCTGAGGACAAGTCGTCTCATGGATAATTTCATGTTGTTGGAAGTAAGCCTGAAAGTCATGATTGAAAAATTCTCCATCATTGTCTGAGCTAAGAATTTGTATTTGAGTATTGAACTGAGTTTTCATCTGTTTGTGGAAGAACTGAAAACGGAAAAACACTTCGTTTTTATTCTTCAGCAAATAAAGTCATGTCATCCGTGTACAATCATCTACGAATGTGACAAACCATCAAACGCCAGAAGGAGCAGTGATAGGTGAAAGTCCTCAGACATCAGAGTGAATTAACGTAAATGGAGTAGTACACTTGTTCATACTCAATGGATAGGGCACACTAGGGGTAGGCATTCAAACCGACGAACTGAAAATTCGAGCCAAACTGAATCGAAAAAACAAAAAAAAATTGAAGTCAACAAGTGGTCAAAAAATCGAACCGTACCGGTTCCAATTTCGGTTCCATACCTCTAAAAACCGAACTGGACCGGCTTTAATATAATTAATTTTTATAAATACATTGGGCCTTATTTTACCTCAACCTTCCACTCTTAGCTTGAAGCCCAAAGAATTGGGACCTATCATCTATATCTCAAGCCCAACAGCTTATATTTTTAATTTTTTTTAGTAGCCCACCTTTTTTAATGAATATTACCTCAGCCAAAATTCAAACTCTAGCCTCTCTCTCTCTCTCTCTCTCTCTCTCTCTCTCATTCTTCCAAATCCAGACCTTAGCAGCGTGCTTTTTTTTTTTTGAGATATTTAGTGATATACCCATTCTTAGCACTAATATTATAAATAAACCCTACACCATTGAAATTCTATAAACAAACCCAAAAAAAAAACCCAAAAAATGACAGCTGGTCTTATTAAATTTAATATTGATTATTAAATTACTTTAATGCCCTATTGAGTGTTTTGGGTATTTTTATAAGATTTTGGGGTTGGACTTGTTTTAAGAAATTTATGGTAGTTTTGTAATTTATAAGAAGTTAAAGCCTATTTGTTATGTTGTAAATAGGCTTTGGGTGTGTTTATAAAGTCCATTTCATATGGGGTATTTTTATAATTTGGACATCCATATTGGGTATAATAGTGAATCTCCCTTTTTTTTTCCTTCCATTTTCTCTCTTTCTCCCTTTTTCTTTTTTCTTCTCTCTTTCTTTCCTGAAGAAAACCTAGCCTCAACTTCTTCTTCTCTTCTTCTCCTCTTCCTCTCCTCTCCTCTCTATATGATTTCTCTTTTTGTTTCTTACTCTCCTTTAGTGCATCGATTCGATCTGTTTTGCTAGATAGTTTTTTTTGGGGTATCTTTTAAGGTTCAGATCTGGTTTTTCTTGTACTGATTCGTCGATTCCGCTCTCAGCTCAGCAGCAATGACGGTGACGTTCCTCCTGCTAGATGCTTACTCTCAGAGTTAGTGTCCTCAGATCATATCCATATTTAGCATGTTTGTTTTTTTTGTTTTTTGTTTTTGTTTTTGTTTTTTTATTGATTTTTTTTTTTTTTTTTTTTTTTTTTTTTTTTTTTTTTTTTTCAACCATTGTGCCGAGAAATGACTAACGAGGTGGTCTTGATGGAGACGAAGGTGATGACTTGCCCCTAAAACTCGTCACTCAAGATGGTATTGATGGAGACGAAGCACCCAATGACCAACTCCTCAGCATTGCTATCATCCATGGCCATGCCCCTTATTTTTTTTTGTTTTTCCCCAAATTGAAGTGTTCTGATTTGTGATACAAAGCCCAGCCCTAGGGCACACGGTGACTTTGGCCAAAATACAACTGTCACATGTGAAGTTGAGTCTTTAAAACTTGAGAATAAATTTGGTATAAGATGCTTTATATAATTAAAAGACAGATGTCCTAATTGACGGTGTCAAAACCATGTTTGCTTTTGTTTGCTATCAGAGGGATGCGTCATACTATTAGTCATGCCGAGATTGAAGTCATCTACATAATATAGCCTCCATCTCTTAGTACTACAACCAAGAATCTCCTAAGTGTGAATATCCTGAAGCAAACAAAAATTCGGGTAAATGAGTACACAACAATTCAATTGTTCAGTAAGTTGACTAACTAACATCAATTTATCAGATAAAGATGGAACAAGTAAAGTATTAAATAGTGAGAGAGATGATGAGAATGCAACAATGTCAACCCCTGTCACAGGATAAGTAACTTCATTGGCGTTAGCAATACAAGTTCGTCGGGGTTGTGTAGTATTCATAAAATCATCAAGATCAAAAGTCATATGATCAATTGCACTGGAATCAATTATCTAACTCCTGGAATCAATCTTATCCGAAGTATGGAATCCAAAACCAGTACCATTACTGGTCGCATCGCGTTTTGTTCGACCTTTGAGAGTAGCCCACCATTCGAGGTAGCCATGCAATTTAAAACAAGTCGCACGAGTGTGTCTCGGATCACCACAAATGTGTCGGGTTGTTAGTCGGGAAGTCATAATCTGTGCAGCGGAAGATGTATATGATACAGGTTTAGTAGGAATCCAGATCGGGATTTGAGCTTGAGTCAGGGTCGGAGTCGAAGTAGGGATCTGGGTATGAATCATAGACAAATTCGGTGTCGGTGTCGGGGTCATCATCGGAGTTAGGGTTAGGGTCGGGGTGGTCGTTGTCGTAGTTGAGGTCGGGGTCGTCAAAATAGGATCTTGATTTAGGATCGGGCTCGGGGATTTAGGATCGGGTTCGAAGTTGAAGTTTGCATCTACAGGAGCTGAGCCACCTGGGCACTCAACTCGACTATGATTGGTTGAGAAGGAGAGGAGGAGTCAGTGGTGCTACTTTCATGAGGGTTGAAATTAAATTCCAAGATCGCCGTTCTGATATCATGCTAAAATATGAAACCTAATATGAGAATATTTGTTTGTGGAAATTTTTTATGTATTCTTCTCCTCGTAGGAGGTCATATTTATAATACAACAGAACTTTAATGGGCAAGTAAATAATAAATTCATATTTCTATTTACAGTAGGAAATCAGGAATTAAAGTAAATCAAATATTATTATAATGGGAATCCTTCGTGTGTAAGGAAAGAGAGTCAATGGTTCACAAGTGACGCCAACAGGTGCCACACAGCGGTGCGTTGGAGCCACTAACTGAGTAGACGACCACCACAATTGCGTTCATGATCATGATGTTCGACTACAACAGCAGATCATTGTAGTCGTAATAATTTGAAGGGAACGACAAAGCTTATGAGGTTATTCATTTCATCATGCGTACGTGGTCATGAATGTATTCTTTTGGTTTCTTCCTTCTTGTTGTAATTGCTGAGTAAATAATATCTAATGTTGTGTGATAGAGGGTGTATCATGAATATTTTTTTACAGTTAAATAGGGTGCACTTAATTAATTGTATATTTTAATTTAAATATTAATGTGTACTTAAATCATACGGTGTACTTAGTTAATTTTAGAGTTCGTTTAACACCATCAAAAAAAGCCCTAAAACTTGTCACAAATAAATAAATAAATGAAACTTGTCACGTGATAAATCTACTTATACAAGACAACTCGTCTGTTCCCACAGGTCACTTGGAGGAAGGACGCTATTGGGAACAACTCCTGTACCCTTTTACTCTGTAGGAGATCTTTTTGAAAATAGGGCATCTTTCCTCAAAACAGGTCCAGATGGAGCAGAGCCAAAATATAACAGGCAACAAATTTTCCAAGTTGCTGATGCCAAATCTGTGGGGTCGTTGATAAGGTCATTGGGTGCTCTAACATGCACCAAAAGATCCAGATGCTAAGCAGCCTCGAGCTCACGGAGATATGATAGGGAAAAGGCACATCAAAGACGGCAACAAATTACACCGTGCTTCTCTAGGCATGCTGTATAAACCAAATTCTATTTTACTTCCACAAACATTGCATTCAGAAAATAAAGGTATATGAGATTTTGTGCTAAGAACAAATTACTATGTAATGAGGAGAAAAGAAAAGAAAGAAAAAAAAATTGTGCTCCATCAGAGTTGTTTCTTTAATCCTCTTCATTGTCAGAACTTGCATATGCTAATCCTAACAAACTTTTGGCTGTAGTTTTCCCTTCACACTCGCCCTTTATTCTGTGTGATGACGACACATGCACTTTGTCCTTCACTTGGTCATTTTCAGACTCAAGATTTGTCGAAGCACTAACAATCAAATTTGGGTGGGACTGATTACCATCGGATCTGCTTGAAACTTTATGCCGCTTGGGTTTAATTTCAATGACCTTTTTCAGTAGATCTTGCTGTCTGCATTTCAAAAACCAAAAATACACATATATGAGAAGTAGGGAACTTGAACATGTCAATCAGAAAAATCACTGGCTATAGCATGTCAGTTCTATTATTTGGTTTGAAGATAGTCATACCTGATCCCACTCTTTTGCTTGGGCTCAACACGAAGTGGCAAGGGAACCGATGCAGGTGAAGAATCTGCCAGACTTGCAGCTTTGTGTTCATTGGTTAAGGAAGACAAGAGAGAAGAGGGAGAGGAGAGAGATGTAATAATCCAATGTCTGGAACCACATGACAATAATCACCATTCAATCTCACAAATTCTAATGCAACAGTTTGTCATGACATGAGGACAGCACCAAGGGAGCTAATAATATTTTACCAAGACTGGGAAATATTCAAAATATTATTTCTGAAGTGGTCATTAACATACAGTGTTAATGAAAGTATATATATATATATATATATACATATATATATATATGTTAAATGATTAATATGAAGCAAAACATACAGATGATATCACATCAGAATATAAAATAAGTAGGTAAAATTAGACCTACGCCCCCTGAACTTAGGGTCTCTCTCGCTTTGCCAACTGAGGGGGCATATGAGTATATTTCCCCAGCAAACATATACTACAAGACAACTTGATAATCTTTTTGGGAATGAGCAAACAGGGAGTTACTTAGACAAAAAGTCCTCTAACAGGTGTAAAATACGACCCACTAAGAATAGAAATCAACCCTAAATCATCATCACCTAATGTGCATATGACCACTGAATTGAGTTAGGCGGGACATGACAATTAAGATTAACTGAAAAGAATCACATAGAGGAATAAGATAAACAATGGCATTTAAGTTCTACAGGAATATGCACTAAAATGCTCATAACCAACAACTTACGTGCAGACTATGCATGCAGAGAGACTAGAAGAAATTTCATGAAAGGATATCTTAAATGCAGCAAATGCTCGCTTCTCAGTGCGGCGAAGGAGGCGCTCTGCATCCTCCTCAGCTTCCATCTGCTCCTTGAGATATAGTAGGTCATCACTGTCCAAGGCTGTATACTCAAACTTACAACAGATTGCGATAAAGTAAAGAGCTAAACAAACACAGATTCAGAAAGCAGTTGCCTTGTGCCTGGATACACACACACAAAGCACAAGAGAGAGAGAGAGAGAGAGAGAGAGAGAGAGAGAGAGAGAGAGTGTGTATACTCAAACTTACAACAGATTGCGATAAAGTAAAGAGCTAAACAAACACAGATTCAGAAAGCAGTTGCCTTGTGCCTGGATACACACAGGCAAAACGAGAGAGAGAGAGAGAGAGAGAGAGAGAGGAGAGAGAGAGAGAGAGGTACCGCCTCGGCCATGAAGGTATCCTCCGCGTTCTCCTGCAACCTCTTGCATCTGGCTTGCATCAACCACCCAGTAGAAGAAGCCAAGATCCCTGCCAGGGCATGTTATCAGAAAACTCCCCTCACAGTTTGAAGCAAACAGTCATAGATGTGATTGAGGCTCCCCCCGAATATTTGGGTTTACCTATGGGAAAACTGTGCCTTAATAAAGAGCAATGTGAAAGTCAGAGGTTGGCAGGGGCGTGGGGCTATTGAGTAGTGTTGTGGCCACTCAAATATTTGGGTTTACAAATGCGAGGTAATCCGAGATCCGATAGGTTCTGGAATTAAATGATCGAGAATGTTGAGAGGCGTTTGCAGAGCTGGAAAGGAGCTCTCTTGTCAAGAGGGGGCAATTTAATTCAAGCAGTTTTGGGAAGTTAACACTAATTCCGTGAAGGTGCAGTCTTTTGTGAGCAGGTGTAGGGGAAAACAAAACAACAGGCGTGTCCAAGGTAGCTACATGAACAACAGACCTATCAAGATTACAGCATTCCAATCTAAATAAATAATATGAAAGCTACTCTAAATTCTAACAAAGTACAAGCCCACAATGACGTGCATAATCGAATCCGATCCCACAACTTCTCAACCTCATCCCCTTTAGAATCCTCCAAAACTCTCCTAGTTCTCTCCCCCCAAATCAATTTTCAATGACTAACTAATTCTAGTTGCCCTTACAAATAAAAAGCATAACTGAACACAAAGATGTAGAATAGCTATCATTCATATAAGAGATCTCAGCACTAAGCAACTAACGCAAAATATATTTCATGATACAGAATTTGATAACTGCAATAGCTATCATTTCATATAAGAGATCTCAGCACTAAACAACTAATGCAAAATATATTTCACAATACATAATTTGATAACTGCAATTATATGGATTAAGAGAAATAGGGATCTAGCTGAATAAATGTCCGCTGAATATAAAAAATAATTATAAAAAAATATTCAGCTAGATCCCTTAAGAGAAATTCAGCTCCATGTTATAAATGTAAAAAATAATAATATTATTAATTTGGGGCTTGAATATTTGTGAGAAAAATGTAGTATTATATGGATTAAGAGAAATAGGGAAATAGCGAATATGAAATGAGAGAAGCATGTTATAGGTGAGGTTGGATAGTAAGAAAGAATAATATAAAACAAGTACAAGTGCTAATAAATACCAAAAAACAAAAAAACAAAAAAAACAAAAACAAAAAGAGTTCACAACAAAAGCTGTGGCGTGGGTGGTTAGGGTGCTGTCCATCATACAGGAGTGCATGGTTTCAAATCTTGATGTGCACGAATATTTTTCTACCATTTTGGTGAGGAGATTAAGTCGCGATGAAAATGACCAATTAAAGTGTCTATTGAAAGGAAAATATCGGATCCCAAAATTTCGGCGAAATATCAACGATAAAAAAAAAACCTGATAAATAGATAGTATACTGCTAAAATATTGGCCCTAAAAAAAGCGAAATTATCGTCTAAATTGTCTATATTTAAGACTGATTATCATGAATACTATTTTGGACGCTGATATGATGTCAAGCAATGAATTTCCAACGTTGCCTAAAAGCTCTGAAGGCCTAAACGTATGAATCCCAGTGGTGGTGGTGGGGAGTGCACAATTTTTGCTCATTTCATCCTAACAATTTTTTACCAAGCGCAGTGTAGAATCCAAAAAATGGAATTGTAACAGTTGAAATGTTTAGCCAATTAGATATCTGAGAAAAAATAGATTACAAATCCCATATATATTAGAATTGAAATTGAATTTTCAAATGAAATTTTATTTCTATCAAAAGAATGCAAAACTTGAATCCTATTATTTCCTTCTTCCAGAAGCTAATCAGCGTCAAATAAAGAGAGAAGAAGAAGAAAAAACAAGAAAAAGAAGGAAAAAATGCGCTAACCTTGGCAACCATGCGTTGGAATGTGATGTCTTCATCGTCTATCTTATCTTTCCCTTTCCCCCATTTCTTATCTGCCACAATCAATCCAAGAATGATTAATTGATCAAATTAAAACCGGAAAACATTTAACAACTTGAGGAAAAAAAAACCTTTTGGGTCGGAGAGATTGGTGTACTCTCGAACTTCTCTGCCTGCCATTGCGCTCACTTTAAAAATAAACGATATATGATTATGAAAAATTCTTAAAGCGGAAAGTTTCTCTTGATTCAGAAGAGTAAAGCAAAAGGCTGCACCATAAATAAAACAAGGAAGAAAATTCATAAAGCCGCAGTAATACGATAATACAAAGATCAATAAAAATTTCAAAATCCGAAAGCAGGAGCTTTCTTTCTTCCTCTTGCTCTTTTTTTTTTCCAAGTAAATCCATTTTTTTACTAGCTCTCTTTCTGCATATCGAAGATTTGGTCCCATCCACCTTCACATTCTCAGCCACATCATCATACTTTTCGAAGTGATCCCATACCTCTGATTTTTCTATGGAAGATTATCTAGTCCCGGAAGGAGGTAATTGTGGAAGACCACCCTGTTGAGGTGGTTTTTGGGCTTAAGGTTGGGACTGAATTGGTGTTTGGACTTGAGGTTGGGGAATTGGTATAGTAGGCGACGGTGATGATGTGGATGCAGAAGAAGAACATGTGTCATTGCCACTAGGCAAGTGTTCAAATAGGTCCATCTCTCCTTTAATAAAAACAGAAACTAACCATAAAAACAGACCTAGCATGCAGCATAACCTATTTAACAAAAAGAAACATAATCATAATTAATACAGCAGCATAACAACAGAATAGCAGCAGCAGAAACAGAACCTAGTAGTTTCACAGAACCTAATTTCATAAAACAGAAATTAATTTAGTAAAACAGAACCGCCAAGGACAGAACCAAATAATCACAACAGTATAATTTAACAGAAGAACCTAATTGGTAGCAGCCCTAATTAGTATAATGAAACTAACAGTTCATAATTTCTTTGTCAATTTCAAATAAGCATCACGACACAGCATAACCTAATTGGTAGCAGCCCTAATTCGACAACCCTAAACCCTTAACAGAAAAAATATATCATCACATCAACCTCAACCACCAAATCGACAAGCCTAATTTAAAAGAAAAAAACTATAAATTTAATTTAGAATAAACCCTAAATTCAAAGGAAGATGATGCTCTCACCTTTAACTGATAAAGAGAGAAACCCACAGAAGAAATCGCAGGAGAGGAATAGATGTTGTCGGCGATCAGAAACTGAGACTTAGAAACATAGAAAATCGAGATAAGAAGAGAGAGCAAAAAGAGAGTTAGCGGAGCAAAGAAGCGACGGGGAAAAAATAGAACAGATAAGAGAGAGAGAAGCTAACCTGCGTGCAGGGCTTGAGGCGGCGCGGTGGCTGATCGACTGAGAGTGAGAGGATCGAAGTAGAGAAAATAGAGAGAGAGAGGGGTTTCGGCGGAGAAGAGAGAACCTGCGAGAGAGAGAGAGAGAGAGAGAGGAATGAAAACCTAACCTCACGCATTGGGCTGATTTGGGTGTAATCTTGTGCTTCCCGACCTATTGTAATCTCTACAAACATCGAATTAAAAACTGCCACATGCATTAAATAGAATATCGAATTAAACTTGTGACTGAAATGGCTTTTATTTAATCAATGTATTTTAGGAAAAATAGTACCATTATTGATATCATTGTTATGAACCTAGTAAGTATGGATTTAGTAAAGTTGAACTACAGATTAATAGGCAGTATGCCGTAAGTTCTGATTATCTCCATTTTGGGGAATTATGCTTTTTTTATAGACCTTGGGAGGTGTGCAAGTTGTGTAGAATTTCGATGTGAGACTGTAGACATTGATTATAGGCTTGCCACGTGTCCTAGAGGAGGAGGTTGCCCTAATCGTTGGATCGGTAGGCTGGGTGCCGAATAATTGTGCCGAAGGCTACCATAGACCCAATCTTGTCCATGCGTCCGATTCTCATTGGTCGCTCATTTTGATATAAACACCTACCATAGCAAATTATACCATACCAAGAAATACCTACCATGATTCACCCCAATGACCCATCATTGTAATTATAAAATATTAGTGAATAGTGTAATCCATATGCCTATAAATACAAAGCATCAAGTATGAATGAAATACAATTGTTTCTATTCCTCTAAATTCTCTCCACAATCCCCTAATTTTATAATACGTTATTAGCACGAATATCTTTAAATACCAGCTGAAATATTCGATCAAATCCTTACCTTTCTCTCTTCTGTTTTGATAATCTTCCAAAACTCAAGAAGGAGAAACATGTGCCGACGTCAACGCCATGGTGGACTGTATGTACACACCAAAGTTGCTATTTCCTTTTGCTCCATTCTATAGCCATAACCAGTAGAAAAACATGTTGATAGAGATTTTGGAGATCCCATAACAGCAACATATCAGAAAGGACGATAAGTGCTGAAGCCTCTTGATGAGAATAGCAAACTCACCAAAAAAAGGATAAGCCTCTGTCCTTTATCTTCATTTATTATATTATTACTCTAATATCTACACTATTCAACTTATGACTAATCATCCCAAAGCAGCTAGTGTAGATGTGTTGAAGCTGTGCAGGTGGAAGGAAGAAAAGCAGTTGAATTGGGCTAGCGTGACATATCCTTCTTTCCACTAACATATAATGATATACATATATAATATTAATGTGGAAAGCTGATGGTAATATAATATAGGGAAATGACCCTCAGTGCCACCCCTTTAATAATTTTAACTAAAAATACAATCCCTTCCCAATTTTTTTTATAACTATCAACTATAAATAGAAAATTATTGTACCCTTATTGCTCTCCTAACACATTTTCTGAAATTGACCTCCCGCCCATCAGCTCTCCGTCGCTCAGTCTCTTCATCTTCACTCTCTGGTCACTCTGCTCTCACTCTCTCGTCTCTCAGCTCTAACTCTCTCATCTCTCGTCGCTCAGCTGTCACTCTCGCTTCTGTCTTCCTCTCCCAGCGAAATCTGTGCATCGAAGAACAACGCCATCATTCACAGCAAACAGGTACTGTTCATCGGAATTCTTTTACGGCTTAGGGTTTATGGGTTTGTTTGAAATTGGTTGACGGGGTTGTTTGAAATTGGTTTAGGGTTTGGGGGTTTCTCTGAAATTGGTTTAGTGGGTTTTCTGAAATGGGTATAGGGTTTAGGGGTTTCACTAAAATTGGTTTTGCTTTAACTCTGTTTGCTAACTTAAGGGCTTGCATATTGGATATGGATAAGTTCTCTTGTTTTTCATATTCTCTTGTGATTATTTGGAATTTCAGTTTGGGGATGAATATTCAATGTCTAAACAAAGGGCAAGGAACCATATGTGGTGTAATATGAGTTCTTTAAAAGTTTGCTGTTTTGTGCTTGATCATTGTATGCTTAAAACAAAGCGGGAAATGAGTGAAGATGGGAACATGCCACCAGCAGGTGTGGTTTAGAGAAATGGGGCCATGGATTTTGCTATAAGCTAACTCTTTAAGCTTTTGCTTGTCTTTTTTGTGTATGGATAGTTAGACAACTCTGTTTATGAGGTGAACTTTTAATTTTTTAATTGTACATGTGTAAGAAACATTTTTTACAGTTTTGATGGTTTATTTATTCATTTATCTTTGATATTGATAACACATACAATACATACAAACCTCTGATTTTGTTAAGGAAAAACTGAAGGGATGGTGCCAATTTCATTAATTTCCTTACATTTGAAAGGAGGGCATATTGGAGTCATGATTGTGGTTGCCACTAATTGATAGGATGTTCCATGACATTATACGTTGAAGTCAATAAATTGTTTCCTGATGTCTTCTTGTTGAATTGTTCTGAATTAGGCTTCTGCTACTGCACATTCCTATTGTAGCTTAAGCTGTCATGATTATCTGGTGTTTGGAGATGTGTCTGTAGATATTTAGTTAATTGTCAATGATCATGTAAGGTAAAGACTTAAATCCTTGTGAGACAGAAATTGGAGTGAGAGACAAGTAATTTGAAGGACACATGAAAAACTGAGTGAGAGACAAGTAGTTTAATGGCATTTTTTAGGAAGCCTTGTGAAGAGAAAATATAAAAGAAGGAAGTGGGAAAATATAATGGCACTCTCTCTTTCTCTCTTTGCAGTCAATGTTAGGGTTTGTTGAGGGGGTTCTTGAAGGTGAAAGAGAGGGTTGCTTCGTTAAATGCTCTCTCCCTTCAACAATCTCTCAGTTCCCTCTCTTTTCATGTTTTCAATGGACGTCTTTCTCTTCTTCTCTGCTCTTTCAGGGCCTCAAAAAACCCAAATTCTTGGTTTCGGTTCCGACTTTTTTCACATACTTCCTCCTCATTCTCAATCCTCTCACAGACAGAATTCGAGCTTTTGTTTAGGTGTTTCTGCGATTTCCAATTCGGGTCTGTGTGCAAAACGAGTGATTCTAAGGTAGGTTTTGTATTTGTTATTGACTAGTTTGTCTTTTTGTACGGTTTTCATTTGAAAAGGATCATTTCACTAACCTGTGACTGATTTTGTGAAGTTTAGTAATTAGAGAGATTGCAAATTTCTGTATTTTAACTGTGAATTACTTCATGCTTGGATGAAACTTCTATTGGTCTGATTGATTTTCATGCTATGGATGACGAAGTGCCTCAAGTTGCTATTTGTCATGTAGGATTGGTTCGTTTGTGATGCGTGTTTTCAGTTTCATTTTATGATGCATATTTAGTGTGGGAATTTATTGTGGTTCATGTGCTGTAATTTGTGTTTAATTTTCACTTAATATCCTATAATAGGCCGTTGAATTGTGTATTGCTTGTTATTGTCCAGATTGCAACGGACTGAATTTTTTTTAATAATAATGGCGTGCAGGGAAACATGGTTTCGCCAATTAAGTTGATGATTGGAGAGGAAGAAAAGTTCCAAGGAAAAGCATTGGCGCTATCCCATACAAAGAGTGCAATAAGTACGATAAAAGAGAAATTCAGTGAGCAACAGCTACGAACCTTCGAAGAGAGTTGTTTTGGGCATCTCCTACTCATCGAGGACCTGAAGTGGACGTCGCCAATTGTACACGGATTGTTGCTGAGGAAAGCTGATCCGAAGACTGTTTCCCAAGTGAACGGGATCAAATTCATTGTTGGCAATAAGGTGATCCAATTCACACCGCAGCAATTTTGCGTCGTCACAGGGCTAAGGTTTGGAAACCTTCCCTTTATTCCGATTCCCAGTAATGACAACTGCTCATTGAAAAGGAAGTATTTTGGCAACAATAAAACAGTGAGCCTGTTGGAATTAGAAAAAGCCTTCCGCGACTGCGCTGATGCGGATGATGCATTGAAGCTCGGCTTTGTATACTTCGCTGTGTTTGTGCTGTTGGGCAGTGAAAAACATGTCCACATTGACATGCGATATTTGAAGTTGGCGGAAGACCTTGAAGATTTTGGGAAATATCCATGGGGTGCTGTGTCTTATGCGAAGACAAATGCGTCACTGCTGAGGGCACTGTGTGCAGATTACCAGCGAGTGAAAGGGCCCAAAAAAGCTTCGAAAACAAAAAAATCTGAAAAGCAAGTAAAGACAACGGCAACTGGTAGACCAAGAGAGTACCACCTGAAGGGTTTTGCCTTTGCACTTCAGGTGAGCACATTTCGATTCCTGTTGAAGTTAAATATCATTTGTTTACAGTAATGGGTTCTAAAACAGTAATGGGGGAGAGAGAGAGAGAGAGAGAGAGAGAGAGAGAGAGAGAGAGAGAGAAATTGAGAGCTGCATTGGAGGAGCTAAAACATCATTTGTTCATGTTTATTTTCTGTAATTATTACTTATTTGGGGGATTGATTGGTTTAGTTGTTGAAGGATGAAGACGAATAAAAGGAACTCTGTCCACTGTTATTGTTTTTTGACAGATTCTTTTGACTAATGATATTGTGTTTGTGTGTGTGTGTTGGTAGATATTTTGTGTGAGAGAGACAGAGAGAGCGAGAGAGAGAGAGAGAGAGAGAGAGAGAGAGCAAATTGGGTGGCTGTTCTGGGCGGCTGTGGTATTTAAAAAAAGAATTCTACAAAGAAATAAAATAATTTGCAAAGTTAAAAAATTGATGGGAAAGGGGAGAAACATTCAAGGGAGGGGGTCAGGGGTAGAAGGGAATTCAAGAATAGAAAATGGACAGAAGGTTTTATTTTATTTAATTAGTAATATTATTCTGTTTTTGCTGAATATTATATCATTAATATTGATGATGAGCCCCGTGTTTTTCTATCAACAACCCTAAGTTAACACTAATTACCTCATTATAGAAATAAGTTGTCAGAAAAACAAGTTTACATTTTCACCCCTTTATGTAAGTGGGGGATATTGGATATTAGGAAATAATCTTTTTTCCTGATTTGTGTTGAATGCTCTTAGACTAATGACTAATGTGGCCCGAACCACTTTTAGCCTCTATGCATCTCTAGATGGCTGTATTTCTTTTAACTTTTGTCAATCATAGGGCAAGGTTTAGACTGCAATTAATACATGCTAATTATTTCTCTTTATTGTATTCTTGGCTTTTCATGCCCTATTTAAGGTTATAGCATGTGATCTCTAAGGCTTTTCTTCCTCAAACCAGATTTGGGCTTATGAGGTATTTCCAGCGTTGGCTGCACTACATTTGGTGGTGCACGAACATAATGCCTACATCCCTCGTATACTACATTGGAGGAGCAACACTTTGCCGCGTTTTTATGAGCTCATGAGCCAAGTCTTCGAAAACCGTGAGGTTAGTTCAGTTTGTAATGATAATCTTAGGCATATGAAAATATAATTTTATAAGTTTACTGATATTTCTATTGTCTGCGTAAATTGCAGGTTGATGTGCAACTTATCCGGCCATCTGTAATTGACAAGCAGCAGCCGTATTGGACTTGGGGTGACAGTGTTGACAACACTGAAGAACTTGTTGAGTTGGTTGGCGATGACGCTGAACAAAAAACCAGCACGTCTGCCTCTGTAGAAGAAAAAGATGAGGACATTGAAGAAACTGCTAGCCTTCCGTCGTCTTCTAAGGCAAGCATTACCTATTTTCCAATATTCCAATATATGTCATAATACAATAGGAAATTAACTGCTGTTTTGTTCCGATATATTTTGGAAATATTGTAACACTTGCATTATAACTGAATGCAGGGTAAAATGGCGTCCACTGAGTTACGCACTTTGAAGCGTGACTTTGAAAGGATGAAGGATGAATTCGCCAAAGTTGCCAGTTCAAATCGAGCGCTTCGCAACAGAGTGCATGAGTTGGAAGAAATGGTACGGAGGGAGTCATCCAAAGTTGAAAGAAATAACAAGTGTGTGGAGGATTTGCGCAACACAGTGGCATCAATGGAGCATTATTTTAAGCTGGAGCTAGAGCAGCTGCGAAAACAAGATGGTGGGGTGAAAGAAGCTGGGGAAGGACATGAGGACCTCGGTACTCCTCATATGAATGAAGGAGGTGACAATGAATTGTCGCCATTACATGACAATGTCACTCCGCCCACAAAATCGGCAGCAATGGCAACACAAGTCCCCAGTGATGGAGCCGAACCTTCCGCAGCCATGGTCACTCCAGTTCCTGACTTACAAGTGCATGAAGCAGCTGCGCATGCACAATCCGAGAAGCTGCCTACCCCGGAAGATGTGGCCGGGTGTGACGAAATCTGCCAAAGACTTATGTTTTTGTTAGAAGATTGGAAAATAGCTGACAGAGTGCCATCGGGAGGTCCGATGAATCCTCCAAGTATACCTACAATTAGTATGGCTGCTGATGAAGAAGGTAGTTTGAGTGTTGAAAAAAAAGAAGTGGAAGGTAAAGGCTGTAGACAGAAGCGCCCGGCCCAGACATTATTAAGTCCATTTACTGATCCTTTGAGGAAGAAGAGGACAATGAGTGTGTCGGATGCGACTGCAACCCCGCCATGTTTTGATCCATCAAAACCGCTGCCCATTGAAGATGTGAAGGCAGTAATAGATTTTTGCACTGCCTGGAAAAACGATATCAGGTTCGGATTCTTGACCTTCGAAATCCAATTGTCATCCTATTAATATGCATGTGTATATTTGTCATCAACAAAGTCAGATTTATGAGATGAGTACAAACGTAACCGTTCCAAGTTTGCCTTTTCTAGTGTGCAGGTGCAGCTTGAAGCATTTTCAGTGGGCGCTGATTTTTTCTACAAACTCATCGATGAAACGGCATGGATTAGCTCAAGGGTAAGAATACACAAATCTCTACTTTATTATGATCATTCAATTGTTTTCTCACCTTTTTTAAGTGTACAATTGTCTGAAAATGTGCTGATATTATATGTCAACTGTCAGCACCTGGAAATGGCAACCTTTCTTATCCGGAAACGGCAACTCTCTCATCCGTTGCTATTTGGAACCGACTGGACAACGGCAGATTATGCCTTGCAGGTACACTTTTTACCATGTTACATTCACTGCTTCATTTGCTTTCCCTCGTCATTATGTCATATGGTTTCATTTCAATGTCTGCAGCAATTTCTAGAGCCGTTAAAAGCGACTGGCAAGACACGTGGATCGAAGAAGGCAGCAGCTTCAAACACCAGTGACCTTCCAGCCAACAAGCTGAAGAATGTACATCACTTTGTGCACGGTACGTGGCAACACGGGTATGCCCAAGCTTGGAAAAAAGTCCGCAAAGTGTATTTTCCATATAATCTTCGAGAGTCCCATTGGGTTGCAATCGAAATTGATTTCGTCCGACATACTGCAACTGTGTATGACTCATATGTTGAATATACCAAATCTTCGAAGCTGGTTACACTTCTGCAACCTGTTAGCGATACGCTTGCACGAGTGCTGTACAATATGAAGTTTTATGAAGATTCTGAGGTTGAAGAGGTGAAGCAAAAGGGGCTGCAGATGTCGAGGTTTACGCCTTTCTCAGTTTGCATCATTGGAGGTGTGCCACAACAACGAGATGGGTAAGAATTGTGAATTTAGTTCATTTTTTCAAAATTTTACATAAATGCAGTTGTAATTTCCCAACTTATTGGCCTCACAGTACGTCTTGCGGAATCATGACCGTTCAATTCATCGAGCATCTCAGTGCTGGGCTTTCGGTGCATAAAATTGACCCGTCGAAGATCAAATATTACCGACTGAAGCTTGCAATAGAGGGGTTAAGGGGGGAGGCATATTTATGAGGTAAATGTCTTCATGTGTGTGAATTGACTAGGGTTTTTATGAGTTTGCATTTGGTCAACTAGGGTTTTTATGAGTTTGTTTATTTATTTAGGAGCTTGTGTCTTGTTGCTGAAAAAATTGATGGATTTGTGTTTAGGAGCTTGTGTTGCTTGCTCATTCATTATGAGCTACAGAACCAACCTCTATTCAGCTTGCATTGGCATAAGAAAACATGAGGGGTATTTGCTTTGAAGTCTGTGATGTGGTTCTTCATGCTGATGCCATCCACAGAGGAGGTGGTCAGGTCATTCCCACTGCTAGGACACTCATCTATGCTTCCCAGCTCACTGCCAAGCCAAGCCTCCTTGAACCTGTATATCTTGTTGAAATCCAAGCTCCAGAGCAGACTGTTAGTGGTATCTACGGTGTTCTTAATCAGAAACGTGGGCACGTGTTTCAGGAAATGCAGAGGCCTGGTACTCCACTGTACAATATGAAGGCATACCTACCCCGTCATTGAATGTTTTGGGTTCTCTGGTCAATGAGGGCTTCGACTTCAGGGCAGGCCTTCCCACAATGTGTCTTTGATCATTGGTAGATGATGATGTCTGATCCATTGGAAGCTGGATCCCAGGCTTCAGAACTTGTGACAGATATCCGTAAGAGGAAGGGTTTGAAGGAGCAAATGACCCCACTATCCGAGTTTGAGGAGAAACTTTGAGTAATTTCTTTGATTATATCCAACAATTGGATGACTGAGTTTGTTTGAGACAGTAGTTCCATTGCAGTGCCTATTTTTGGTTTTCAGTTATTTGTTTTTGTTTAATGCTTGTACCAACCCTGTTGTTGTAGTCACCATCCTCTATTTTCTTTGTTACTTTGCTTGTTTTCTTTTGGCTTGTCATATCTGTGTGCAAGATAGCTGCATTTGGCACTATGAACAGACTCGGTGGCAGTTACAAATTAACAGAGGTCTTAATTCTGGAACTCCCATTCATAAACTCTATCTATGTGTGTCATATGTGTGTGCCAGTTGTTTTTGCAGGTCCGTCTCAACCAAGTGTTGATTGCAATATTCTAAAGAAGATGACCATACACTGTTATTTGATGTAGGCATACGTATGAGATGGCTTAGCTTGAATTGGTTTGGTTGTTCCAAGTTGTATGTACACAATCTCAGAGTCAGTACCGAGTTGGTTTACATTTCATGTATTTCTCCGTGGTTTTTTTCCCCCAATATTATGATTATGGAGATGAAGTAAATATTAATGTGGACTTTATAGCATGTTTAGTTTCTTTTCTGGCCTTAATTCTGTGAGAGATGCCCTTATAATGTCAAACAAACGGTTTTGACATACATGTTTTGAAATAATTGAAATCACACCGTTTATTATTATTATTATTATTATTTTTGTTTCCTCCTCGGAGAAGAAGCAAAGTGGTTACAAATATGAAAGATTCCGAATCAGTTTTCTTCTGTCAAATTCCGCATGGAGCTAGAGGTCTACGGTACCATCCGATGAGACTTGACAAAAAATTTGTATTTTTCTTCTTACATTTGTCATAGATAAGATTAAATGTAACCACTAATGAACTGATCCCTTTATTTGTTATTGTTTATTTATTCCAATTGCGTGTGCATCACATGGAAATCTTAGGATTTCTTTACATCAAACTGCCTCTTAAGAGTCATGAGAAGAAGAAGAGGAAGAAGAGAAAACAGAAGGACCTAGCTGGAGCTTACAAGTAATTAAACTAAAGTTCATTTAGTTAAAGTCAGGGGAAGAAAACATGTTTATGGCACCATTCCAAATTCACTGCCCCCTCGAATTGCACAATGGCAATTTGGTCTCCTTCGGCGACCCTAAAGCAGGCAAAACACTGGTGTTGGAAGGAGATGTAAAAGGGTTATTGTGCATTCCATTGGCCAAGCTTGAATGGATTTTCTTTTCTATTGTATTTGACCCTTCTTTTCAAGCATGCCAAAAATCATCCTGGTTTTGTAAGATGTGGTTTGAGCCCAATGAATTTACCGTGGCTCTTGCATTTTTGTACCCAATATTTCATAGCTGCCTTCTTTTGAAGGACGATTCATTGAGGGAGAGAATTACTTTCCTTTTGAATATGAATCGATGTGCAACTCCAACTATCATTTCAAAGGGAAACATCAATTCATGGTAATATAAGGATGGATAACAATTGTCCTGTCCGTGATATTTGAATTGAGGATTACTTTGAACGAAATGGAGACTGTTATTAGACCAAATGGCATTGACATACGATGTAATAGCAATATTAGGCCAATATACTTCACTGTAGAGGCAATATTAAAGCAATATAAGTACAATACCATAGGCATATGATCACAATATACTTCTCATAGGGTGGCAAATATGTATACAATACCAAGGCAATATTACAATACGAAGGCAATATACATATACAGCAATATGTATACAATACCAAGGCAATATTAAGCAATATACACGCAATATAACAGCAATATGAAGTGAATCTACATACAATACACACACATCCAAAAGTACGACTACATTTGACACATGCAAACCAAATCGCCTCCGAACCTTAACAATCCTATTCCGCGAAGGAAAAACGAAGGCACCAAAAGATCCATGTACTCGGGTGAGATGAACTGCAGCAGCACTTACCCTTACTACAGGTCCATGAAAAGATCAATGTCTTTGTGCTTTCTCCTCGCTGCATGCACGAGGCTATGATGAGCCATTCCCTCAGCACCCATATTCAGCACCTGCCAGACACCAGGTACATCAATTTCACTCCAATTGTAGTCTGGTGAGATGACCGACGCATAATCTCGGAACATTTCGAAGCCGTTGTTGAAACATTCAACCATTTCATGGTTATATTCTTCAGATTTGGTGAATTTTTCGACG